GCTGCCCGGCGCCTGCCCCTTTGCTGCTGCCGCTGTTGTTGTCCTCCCCGCTGCGCCGGTGGCGATGCGCTCGCGCCTCGGCCGTAGCTGTTGAGATGCGTGGGGCCGGGCGGCTTGGGGGCTCACAATGGCCGTGTCGGAGCCACCGAGCCGGCGCCGGTTGGCGGTACCGGATTTCAGATTTGAGTTCTGGCCACGAGAGTTCAATCCGGGCTCTCGAGCGAGAGCGAGCTTTATGTTCTCAGTCCGGCCACGCAAATCCGCACAAAAGAGAGAATTTTGTACTTTAATCGGGGTATTCAAGCTGTGAGAATAAATAAAATATGTTATTAATGCGACCATGCGATGAATAGGGCTTGTGAATAGCGCACGGCCGTGGAGAGGATAGAGGTCCATTGATGGGATATCTCTCGTATTGACACGGGGTTATTCTTCAAGGACTTTTCACTGACACAAGCACGTGCACTGCTCACTAGTACAACGATTGGAATACGGTTGAGAGAGAGAGGAAACAATTACAAAAGAAGAGAAGAGTGGGAGCTGACGCTGAGTAGAGTGACTAATCAGGGCACAAGTGGGCAGAGCCTCCATACCCCCCGCCCACCCCGCACCCTTGGCGACCTGCGTTGGACCCGAGGGTACGGGATGTGTGGCAGGGGTTGTTGGGGTGCGACCACACCGCGAGGTCAGCCGGCACCCAACGCTCAGAGGTGACGGTGCGGCGAGCCGAGGGGTCACGTTGCCGATCGCTGTACGCTCGTGAAAAGCCCTCCAAACGTCAACGCAGTTGAAGAGAAACAACGGCGGTTTATTCCGTTGGCGAAAATGTCGCCTCTGATGGCTTCTTAAGAGCGCCTTTGTCTCGTAGTTATTTTATTTTATTTTTTCAACTCTAACCTGGTCCTCTCCCAGAGGCGGTCACTCTCAGCCGATTCTCTCTCTCTCTGCCTCAGCCATGTCTCTCTCTCTCCATTCTCAAAGGGTGGTTGTTGTCTCAAACACCCATTTGTCAACTTTCCAAGTTCACATTTTTTTTGGCCTTAATCAAAGCCCCCCACAGTTTTAAAGTGCCACCTCCCAAGCGTGAGTCTCTAAGGGTCTTTACGTGAGTCTCTGTGGCCACATCTCTTTTTCTCACTCTCTCTGCTCTGAAGGAGGGCCGTTGGTCGGAACGTCGACACGCTTCGAGCGTTTCTTTCGCGAGGTAGTGGCGGCGGCGGCCGGGGCGGCACGCTCGCACGTTCCCACGCTCGCGTTCGCCCCGCGCCCGTGGCTCAGATACCGATCGCACGCGCGATAGCCCCCCCCCACCGCACCCCCCCATCCCCCCCCACCTCCCTCAGCCCCCCCTGCCCGCTCCACCGACCCAACGCGCAAGGACGGGGAGCTGGGGTCAGCGTTGCCACCTGTCCAGGTTTTCAAGGAAGCTGCCGTCCTGAGAACTCTGCCGGACTTCCCGACAGTGCAGACAATGCGTTTAGCAGGAGCCGTCCCCCCCACTGCCGGCTTCGTGACTTCACCGTCTTCAGCGCCGCCACTAGGCTTCAACACCCAGGAGAGCCTCAACACAACTCCCGCAGGAGGGTCCTGCTGGGTTTTGGGAGTAATCTTGTACATCTTGTGCGGTGCCCGCTGTCACTCAGCGCATTTTACATCAGAAATGTCACGCAAATCTGATTACGGGAAAGCCTTCCACGCTCTCCCACCCACTCTCCCGCCCGCTCAACCTGCCCACTCTCCCGCTTGTTCTCCTGCCCGGCGTTGATAAAGGAGATTCTCACCCCAATGGTTAATGTGCACTTTTTGCTCGAGCTGGTGCAATGGGGCTCAGAGAAATGTAGGGAAGGAAGTTGGGGGGTGCGTGAATGAGTGAATGAGTGAGTGTGTAATCATTCCCGTGCCTAGGTGTGCTGTTCCGGCCTTTGTAGGTGCTGCTCGCGAACAGCACTTGCCCTGACAGTGTGTTGAGGCTACACGGGGGATCTTTGTCTGTTTTGCGTAGGTGCTCCAGGAAAGACCGCTGCCCCCGCTCCAGCGAGCCGCGGCGGTTCGCCGTGGACGTGGCGCAGTGCGTGCGGCTCACCGTGAGGCCCACCAACATCTCGGTCAGCGTGTCCAGCGTGCAGGTCCGTGCACACGCACCAACCCCGCCGTCACCGCCGCCACCATCGTCACCACCGTCGTCACCACCGTCGTTAACATCCGCGGCATCTCTCGCTCAATCGCCGTGTTGCCCGTGGCATGCGGCTCTGCACCTGTGCCACTTGCCCTAAACAAACACGGCGGCAAATAAATAAATAAACAACCCGGCCAGAGTCGGGCGTAATAAATAATAAAGGCACGCACACATGCACACACACGCACACACATGCACGCACACACGCACACACACACGCACACACGCACACACGCGCACACACACACGCACACACACACGCACACACGCACACACACACGCACATGGTCGGACAGGGAGCAGGCGGAGAGCTGGCGCTAACAAGCAGATTAAACGGCGCTCGCGCGTCTCTCTCCGTCACCCTCAAAATCCTTATCCCTCCCTCCCCCATTTTCCACCTCCACCACCGCCACCACCGCTACCACCGCTACCACAACCACCGCCGTGCCGATAACCTGTGAACTGCGATTGCGACGAGCGAGCGAGCGTACGTTAGCGCTCCGGCCGTGTTTTAATTTCAGATCTTACGCCGCTAAATGAGGTCGCGAGATGATGGCATCCCCCCCACCCTGCACCCTCCATGTCCCCCATGGCCCCCTCCTTGCTCGGTGCACCGCTGCTTCCAATGCCGGTTACGAGGTGCTGCTGCTGCTAGCGCCATGGCAGTGCCACGGTCGCGCCGCATCTCTCCCCGTGCTCGCTCTCCCGCTTTGTTGGTGCACTGCGATCGTGGACGATGCTGGATGCTCCTGCCGATTGGTGGATGAGTCACGGCGGTGATGGTGGTGATGGGTGATGGTGGTGCTGGGTGGAGTGGTTGGGGAGTGGTTGGGGAGTTGTGGTACAGCGGCAACCCAGGTTCAAATCATCACCGCTGGCTCACACCAGCGGTGATGATCTGAACCGGCCCTGGTTAGAGACTCGCACAGAGACCCATATAGACTCACATCGAAATTCACTTCAGCCGGGTCTATCCGGGTCAGCGACCCAGATAATATCTCCACACCCGGCACACCACATCCAGTCTAAGTAAGAGAAGAATCCCCGGTAGACTCGACACGCCCATCGACCTGGTGAGCCTTTAAAATACTTCTTTGACCTTTTGACGTGGCGGTAGCTGTGACATGGCGATCGTTCTCGGTTGTCAACGGCAACGGCGTAGGTGGCGGCCGTGCCGATGGCGGCGATGACGATGATGAGCAGTAATGGGACTGGGGCATGCGGCCTGGGCCGATCGGAACGCCCTAACGGCCCATTAACCCGTTAACCCGTTAACCCGATTAGAGATCACAATCCCCCCGGCGGCCTCTCTTCATCTCTCGGCTGACAATTAGGGGGGCGGCGGGAGACCTGCCACTGAGCCTCCCTCCCTCCCTCACCTCCCTCCCCCCCATAACCCCCTTCCCCCATCCCCGTACTCATCATCCGTATTTATTAGCTGCCAGCCGCAATAGAACACCGCGGATACGAGCGACGATGCGGCTGCGTTTGATGGTGGAAGCGGCGGCCGTGGCTTTTGTTCGGGGCCGGTGTCAATCGGGTGACTTGCCGGCACGTGAGACGGTGGGAGGGGGGGGCAGAAGGGAGGTGGGGGGGGGCAGCGCACAGATGGCAGGCGAATACCCCCCACCCCCACCCCTCACCCCCCATACAGCCCCCCACCCTCTTCCAGCTTTGTGGAAATTTTCCTCGTCACCGCCCCCCCCCCACCTTTCTCCCAACTCACTCGCCAGCTCCGTTTTGAATTTGGGGGTCGTAGCTGAGAGGGTCACGGTGCCGTCAGGAGGGGCTACCCACACAGCGCGAGCCCTACGGCTGCACACGCGTGTACACGTGCGCGCGTGTGTGTACGCGTGTACACGTGCGTGTGCCCGGGTGTACACGCGTGTGATCGTGCTCCCCTCTCACTTATTCGCCGTCCGGCTCTAATGTCTGCCCTCCTCTCTCTCAGTGCCGTGCTCTCTATGGCTCTGTTTCTCTCTCTCTCTGCCTGTCTCATTTTTAATTTCTCCTTGTCCGCACGTGTTTTTGCTGTGCGTCCGTCAGTCTCTCCATGTTTGCACGTCCATCCGTCTCGCTGTCTGTCTGCCAGTATCTCTGCTGCCCTGTCTACGTAATAAATTTACGTTATTAATCAGTAAAGAGTCGAGATTCTGGTTCATCGCCAGAAACTAAAATACCTTACGTTTGTGTCCATCAACCGCAGTGCCTTCTGGGCCGGTGTTTCCCATCAGCGTTTGTGGTCAGCAACCCTCACAGGCTCGTGAATTATGTCACGGAATTAAATCAACGTTTAACCAATCAGCTTTTGACTTTCTTAGTCTCAACGACAGCGTGTGGCCTGCTAAACAAACCTGTGTTGGGTTTCACGGTCGGTCCCAAACCCGCCTTGCCTTCCCACACCTCCATCTTGGATCGCACGCGATTTGTCTCTGTCCACCAGACCCACACCAGGCCCCGTATTCACAGACAAGGCCACACAGCCGTTGCCCTTGCAGCAGAAATAATAAAAATAATAATCAGGGCCGAGATGGCACCTCTCAACAGCCGGGACAGAGTCCCACGTCGACACCACGGCAACGTCCCCAGCATCGTCACCTCCGACCTGTCGCTGCACCTCAACGCCAGCGCACAAACAGGTTCCGAAGCGCCAACAGAATCAGCGGCACTGCTGTTTTTTGGTTCATTGCTGAGCTAATTCTGAGCCAATACCAGATAATTCCCGGGCCATTCCTGGGCCAGCAGGGACCATTCCGCAACGAGTCTCTAATGTGCGCTCCACTTGGCATGCGGCCCTGCCTCCCTCCTCCTCGTTTTCGCAGCTCACGATCCGGGCGGAGAATGTCCCGGAGCTGCTGGCCGGAGTGAACTGCACGTTTGAGGGCGCGGCCGAGACGCCAGGAGAGGTCTACGGCTCCCGCGTGCGCTGCCTGTCGCCCTCGGCACGCGACGTCGCGCACCTCCTGCGCAACGTCACGGGTAGCGGTCGCATCGTTATAACGACCGCACGGCGCCACCGTTCACAACCGCCCAGCCGCTGGTCCACCACCAGCGTGCTTCACACAAAGGGGCAAACCGCTTTCACATTGCACATCACTGGAGCGCCACCGCCTGACGTCCGACGTTTCGCTCCACGTGCCGCCGGGAGATTCTTCGAGAGTTGAAGTGAGAGCAGCTCGTGCTAATCTCAATCTGTTCACATCCGTACGGGGATAGAGTGTTACCTCCTCGTGCAATCCGCTGAAAATTTTTTTACATTAAACACCCAATGGAGCAGCAGTAGCAGGCTATGACTCAGCGTGGCTCTCCTGGATGAAGGAGTCGCCACAAGGACTGCCTGTCCTGCACCCCCCGCACGCCCCTCTCTGCCCCCCTCGCTCTGTGTGCCTCCCCCCCCCCCGCCCCCACCAGGAGATCGCCGCGTCATGAGACTCGGACTCAAATCTCTGGGGACCGGAGTGCCGTTTGCCAGCACCAGCCTCATCTTCTACAACTGCAGCAAGCATGTGTCGTGAGTGGGGGGCACTCACAGGGAAAGCCAAATGGGTGGGGGGCAAAGGGCAGATGAGCGGAGCATAGAAGCTGGCTAGCCGGATGGGTGAGAGTGAGTGGATAGTGGTGTATGGCTGCTTGTGGGTGGTTAGGTAGCTGGGTGGCTATGTGGCTCGGTGAGTGGGTGGGTGGCTGAGTGGGTGGATAACTGGGTGGGTGCGTGGCTGGTTGGCCTTGGTGTGTGGGTGACTTGGTCGTTGGCCGAGTGGCTGGGTGCGTAGGTGACTGGGTATGTAGGTGACTGGGTGGTTGACTGGGTGGCTGGGAGGGTGGCTTGGAGCGTGGCTGGGAGCGTGGCTGGGGGGACCTGGCACGGTGAGTGAGGGATAGACGATGTGCTCAGGCGGACATCAGCGCTGTATTTACCGAAAAGCAGCTCTGAGAATCGATGCCGGGAGGGCGGGGCGGGGCGCGCCGGTGGGTGGCGTGCGAGGGGGGGGGGGTGATCGGGCTGGGGGAGGGGGGGGGACGATGGAGGAATTTGGCAGTGACGAGCGGAGGAGCGTGACGGGAGAGGCGCTGCTCGTGCCACGTGACGCCTCCACTGCGGCTGGAGATGCCGTTTACGGCGAGTGGCTATCGACAGGAAGGACCCCCCACCCCTCACGCCCCCACCAAGATCGCGCTGTGATGGATTAGGATGCTCTCTCTCCTCTGTTGCTGTTTTGTTTTTCTTAATCCACGATTTTAATTACAATTAGACATTACACTCTTTACGATTGTGAGGGCAAATCCCGTTAGAGGAGCCGTGAAAGATTTCCGCACAGCAGCAGCAAAATGAATCTCCCGCAATGAAACGAGATTCGACGGTTGTGGCGGCGGCGATGGCGGTGTAATCCGGCTGGCGGCGCTCGGCAGGTTCCGCGCGAGATTGTACGCCACGGAGAAAATGTGACTCAATAAGAGGCTAAATCCCCTGGTGATTGCCTCTTACGGGCGTAATGTAACACGGGCGAGGGTGGCGCCGCGCGGCAGATGCTCGCTCGCCCGCACGTGTTAGCGTGTGTGTGTGTGCGTGTATGTGCGCGCGTGTGTGTGTGCGCGTGTGTGTGCATGCGTGTGTGCGCACGTGTGTGTGTGCACCCCTCCGTGACGTCACACTCAGTGATTCAGCAACCCGACGACAATAACGACGATGACGGCGGTGGTGGCGGCGATGGTGGTGTTGGTAGTGGTGGCGTTGGTGGTGGTGATGCTGGTGGTGGTGGTGTTGGTGCCGGATGGCAACGCTGTGGTGGGCAGTGCCGTGGTGGGAGGGCCAATGTAGATTGGCCTTTCCCCTCATGGCGTTTGTAACCACCACGGCGGCCACATGGGGGCTCTGGACAGGTACGAGGGGCTGGTTAGCCCCTCACCTTCAATGAATTACCACCAAACCACGGCGTCTATGACGTCTCCTGGCCATACCCCATTTGGCAGAGCCAGGAGACTGAATCCTTACCCTCGGGGCTCCTCCAGAAACAACAAAAACCCATTACGGGTGGCCACGTGGAATGTTCAAATGCTCGCTGCGGAGGAGAGGCTGCCCTCTCCTCTGTCGTGAGCTGGACTGGTACCACCTGGCTCTCTGTGGTGTTCAGGAGGTCCAGTGGACCGGCTTTGGTTCCTGTCACCATGAGGAGGGGACAGTCCTCTACTCGGGACAGGAGACTGCCAAACAATAGGGAGTGGCTCTGAAGGAGGCGTGGGAGCGTGGCGGTGAGGTGTGTGAAGTTGTAAGCCCTAGGTTACTTTGGGCTCGCCTTCTCATCAACCAGAGGCGAGGAGTGGTGGTCGTGGTTACTTATGCCCCCACAGAAGACGAACATGCGTGGAGGGATGCAGGCAAGGCCGATGAGTCAGATGCCTTCTATAACCTCCTGTCACAGGTGCTGGCTAAAGTGGCCCCTCGGCATAGAGTCATCTTGTTGCGTGACTTCATTGCCCGAGTTGCTCATGATGCTAGCACCTGGTCTTGAGTGATTGGAAGACATTGGCCAGATCAGCTCAATAACAACGGTAGGAAGCTGCAAATTTTTTGTGCAGCCCATAGGCTTGTAATTACCAACACGCTCTTCCGGCATCGGCGCATCTACACAACATCATGGATGCATGCCAGGTCCAAGCAAGAACATCTGCTGGACTACATAGTGACGGAACAGCGGATGTGGGCCCATGTCCTTGACACCAGGACCTACCGTGGAACTGATCTGCCAACTGACCATCGACTTGTCATCCGTAAGATGCACCTGCCATGCCATTCTTCCACTCCGGTGGTGGGTGTAGTGGTTAAATTCAGGCGCACACTGGAACTTTGGAGGCAACACTATTTATTAGGTAACATAACAATTACACTTAACACAACGACTTAAGGTGGTAGCCACCTTTCCTAACTTAGCTAACCCACGGGGGTACTACATCACTGGACCAGGACAGCCCAACACAGCGGCCGGGTCCACTAGCGGAGACCGGAGATCTTCATCCCAGATATGACCCAGCAGCAGAGCAGAACAGCCCAGGACAGCCCAGCTCTATGTCCACACCCCACCCCCCTTCCCGATCCTTCGGGAAGGCCCGAGCCCCCAACCACGTGACCCCCTGGGGCCCCTGGCTCCCTTTATCTGGTCACGTGTCCTGTTGGGTTCACGCAGAGTGTCACAGCCTGACACGACCTCCGTGACACCCGCCTACGGTCCCTTTACGACACTACAGGTGGACACCTAGGACAACATTCAAACCCATAGTGGCATGGTCTCAGCTAGCTGGTGAAAGCTGCAAGCGAGAATTTTATCATTGCTTGTGGCTGGGGTTGGCATCGTCCCCCACTCCTCCTGATGTCGAGGGGAAATGGGCGAGGTTTAGGACTGTGGCTCATGCAGCTGCAATGGCTGCTTTGGGTACACGGTCCAGACCTCCCCAGAGACCCTGGCTGACAGAGGAGGTGTTCAGGGTGGCTGAGAAAAAGCGACAGCCCACTCTCATCATCTATAGCATCCCACGTCAGAGAATGAGGAGGCTTACCGCAGCCTTCGCTCGGAGATTCAGAGGGCCGTGAGGCGCTGAAAGGATGGGTGGTGGTCGCAGGTTGCTGAGGAGATGGAGTCTGCCGCAATGGCCCGCGATCACAAATCGCTCTTTAACTCCATTAAATAAGTAGCCTGCAGCGCCACACCTATTACCATGATTAGGGGAAATTATGGTGATCCAATTTTTGACCCCCAGAAACAGGTTTGCAGATTTTTTTTAGAATTTTTTTGAGGTCCAGGGGGAGGGGAAATCCCTCAACCTGGAAAAAATCATAGGACTGGTACCAGCGGTGTCAAGATCGGCCTCTGTGGAGGAGGCTCGTGAAGGATACTACTGGGCATTTGGAGCCAGTCGCCCTCTAACAACAACGGAGGGTGGAGGAGTGACGCTCACAACAATGAGCGGAGCGCCGGGTGACTAAAGCACAGCAAGTTGGCACAGTAGGGGGCACAGGTGGTGCATCGGCCAGTCATCTGAGTCAGTCGGCCCGTGGCACCTGCTGGGTCTGCCCCGTGACCTGCCAGTGGGCGTTCGACACTTCACGTGGCCTCAACATGCACATAGCCTGGCACAAGCGTCGTGGTGACGTCACCACCACTTAGTGGCGAATGACGGTTGTTGTTGTTGTAGGTGGGGAGCGGTAGTGTAGTGGTTAGCACGCTTCGCTATGAACCTGGCGATCCGAGTTAGATTTCTGCTCATGGCCAACACCAGTGACGATTATCTGAACCGGGCTTGGGCCTCAAATGAGTAACTGGTGCGGTGTGTAAATGTCGCCACTGGGGAGACAAAGGCGTGGTGTTGGCCACCCACCCCCTCGTGTGCCGTATCGGCCTTCATAGGTGCTCGCAAACAGCACTTTCCCCAACAGTCTGTTAAGGCTACACGGGGGATTTTTGTCTTTGGTGTGGGTGGTCGTGGTGTTGGTAACCGCCCACCGCTGTTCCTCATTCCGTGCGCCGTGCAGGCGGTGCGACGCGTCACGGCGCGAGCAACAAAACAAATAAAGCAAAATCAATCTTGAGAATGACCGAGGAGTGAAGAATGGATAATGAGATGTGGTGAGGGAGGGGGTGAGGGTCGGAGCCAAGGCTGGGTGATGCCTTCTGCTGCCGTGGGTGTTTGCATCGTCTAAACACCGCTGTCTGTCTCTCTCTCCCTTCCTCCCCCTCCATCGTCATCCCTCTGTTGTCTGTCCCTCCCTGCTTACCCCCCTGTTGATGGCCTCTCCCTTCTCTCTCTCTGATTATCTCTTCGTTTGTAATCTTACCCCCTGTCTCTTTGTCAGCTCTCAAACATTTTCCATTACCTTTACCACCATCATTATGATCTTAAACTCCTTTGCCTGTCTCTCCCTCCTACCACGACCTACACCATCGTTATCATCTCTCTGTTGTCTGTCTATCTCTTCTCATTCCCCCCTTTTATTGTCTCTCCTCTCTGCTGCCTCTCGTCATCTTCCCATCATCAATACGTTTCTCTCCACATCCTTTCTTCATCACCCATCTCCACCTCCTCTCTATCTCTCCCACCACCACCACCACCACCTCCTCCTCGTACCCCGCCCCCCCCTCCCGCCCGCCAGCTGCCTGGCGTGCGTGAGCAGCTCCTTCCCGTGCCACTGGTGCAAGTTCCGCCACGTGTGCACGGACCACCCGGGCAGCTGCTCCTTCCTCGAGGGCAGAGTGAACGTCTCCGAGGTGAGTGCCGCGGCTCGTTACGTAAATCCGTCGCGACGCTAACGGCCGTGGCAATCCGCCCGGCCTCGCGAGGCTCGGAAACGAGATGCCGGCGCTGACGGGGCGAGGCCGTGGGGGCCACGCGGGGGCCGTGGGGAAGGGGGGAGGAGTGGGGGTACGAGGGCAGCGCCGTCGGAGGTGGTGGCGATGGGAGCGAGGTGGTGAGGGATGCGGAGAGAAGCGGTGGAGATGGGAGATTTGGAGGAGTTGACCGGAACAGGCGACAAGCAGGCACAAGCAAACCGATTAAAGGCTAAAGGCCCAAAGCATCTCAAGGCCCCCAGAGTTGTGGCAATAGCGAGAAGAATAATAATGAGGGTTGTGCCGAATTTAAATTTGATCCGTGGAAAAATAAATAAATTGACATGTAAATTATTTTAATAACTCTTAAAACTATTTAATTGCAATTAGTCTATTAATGCGGTAATATTCACATGCTCGCACGGCAATCACTTTGGGCTCCGAATGGAGTCGCGACCTCACTGACGGAGAGATGTCGATGGGAGGATGAGATGTTGATGGGATGATGAGACGTCAAAAATCTGAAGAAATAAATGGTTGGATTTCGCTCGCTTCTTTGTAAAGGTGCGCTGTGCCGACGTCCGCCCTGGCGAATGCTCGCCCGCCTAGGTGAGCGTTCACGAGTGTTTAAATTCAGCCGGGTCTGCCCGGGTCGGTGGCCCAGACAATATTCTCACACGCGGCACACCACATCCAGTATACTTCCCATTCCGCTCTACCAGCGGGAGTCGGAAAATATTGGAGCGAGAGATGAGCCCCGGGTGGCAAGCCGAGCAAAGCAGTGTGGGGAGCTCTCCTCTCCCTTGGCCAGCGGTGGAAATTCCACACTCCCCTCGCTCCACAGTCGCCTCTTTATTTAAATGCCCGTAATGATCCGCAGCAGCGAGTGGAGCGCCCCGGGCTAACGAGCCACGCACCTCCTGCCCGTCGCCCACCCTCTGGGGCGTGGTGGGGGAGGAGGGCCGGGGGGAGGCTGTAGGGAGGGAAGTCGCTTCTGCAGATAGATCTTTTTTCCAAAGTCGGGGCTTCATTGCTCACCGGGTCGCTGTTCAACTGCGAGTGGGCCGCACGTCACTGCTACCAACCACGGCCGTAGCGACTGGTTATACTGGTTGTGGTGTGCCGGGCGTGGAAGTATTTTGCAGGTCACCGATTTCGACGGGCCATTCCTCCTGGGTCTCCTCGCCGTCACCCCACCCACCACACCCCTCGCCGCTCGGCCGCCCCCCTTCCCCCGCCCCCGTTGCAGCTGTCAGGATCGGAGACCCAATACAGACGCCGTTGTGCGCGCGCACACGGCCGCCTTTGTTGCTGGGGGGGACGCGCGCAGGAGAGCGTGCGTTGACTGCGATCACATTCCGCTGTCTGTGCGCGCGCACATCGCGTGGCCATTGTCCGGCGCGCAACGCCACGGCGGCGGCCTCGCGCTTGAACCCCGACGGCCCCTCGCTTGATACCCGATAGCCTCTCACTTGATCCCCAATGGCCCCTCACTTGAACCCCAACAGTCCTTCACTTTATCCCCGACGGCCTCTCACTTGAATCCCGACGGCCCCTCACTTGAACCCTGATGGCCTTTCTTTGGAACCCAGACGGCCCCTCACTTGAACCCCAACGGGCCCTCACTTGAACCCCGACGGCCCCTCACTTGAACCCCAACGGCCCCTCGCTTGAACCCCGACGGCCTTTCTTTGGAACCCAGACGGCCCCTCACTTGAACCCCGACGGCCCCTCACTTGAACCCCAACGGCCCCTCGCTTGAACCCCAACGGCCCCTCGCTTGAACCCCAACGGCCCCTCGCTCAAACCCCAACGGCCCCTCGCTTGAACCCCAACGGCCCCTCGCTCGAACCCCAACGGCCCCTCGCATGAACCCTAACGGCCCCTCGCTTGAACCCCAACGGGCCCTCACTTTAACCCCGACGGCCTTTCACTGGAACCCCAACGGCTTCTAGCTTGAACCCTGCCGGATGGGCGAATTTTCAAGGGTACCGAGTGACTCGTGAAAAGAGGGGCGACTCATGAACAGGGGGGCCACCTGTGAAATGGAGGTCAGCTCACGAGAACGGGGGTGTCTGATAAGAAGGGGGGGGGGGGGGGGGATAAAGCAGAGTCACCGTGCTGGCACCAACGTTGAATATTTGCGTACAGCTGCAATATCCCCATAGGTGAAACAACTTAATTTGGAGCTTTCGAGTAATCCCCATAGGTGGTTGCTGTATTGTCACTGTCACCTTGGCCACGCGGTTGGCCACGCGGCGGGTGAGCCCGATTGGCAACGCCCGGAGGGTCAGTGCGGCCCCTTGCGCTCGATCTCGTCGAGCCTCTCGCGCTCGACAAACGCCGCCCGCGCGGAGCGTTGTTCCGAGCCCTCACCAATGCCTCCCGGGAACGCTGTGGACGATTCTCGACCCGGGTTGACGGTCTGAACGCGGGGGTCACGGTAACTCTCCCGGGGGCGATGCGACACGAACGCAGCTCCCGTCTCACGCCGTGCCGCTATTGGGGACTCGCCCCGGCAGGAGACCGGACGCGTTAATCGGAGCGTCGTCTAAAACGTGTTAAAAGGACCCGCCTCGGTATCCCGGCCCTGCCGGCCAGAGATGGCGTTGCCCGGCCTGGCGCGGGCGCCGCCGTCATTGCGCGTGGCGGAATCCACGCGCGTGCCCGGCTTGTGTCGCGCACGCATCACGCATCGTTCCAAACAGCTGCTGCAAGCGCTTATCAAAAATTATAATTATAATAAAAACAACCGCAAGCAAACAATCCGGAGGATTGACGGCAAACAGCGGGCGGGCGGGCGGGCGAGCAGGCAAGGATGTATTTGCTTTAATTAAAAGTGTGCTCTGTGAAAGATCGACGTTTTTATCAAATCTAATCACATTAAACATTCATAGTGGCGGCTTCAAAGGCGGCGCTGTGTCGTAGCTGCAAAGTCAGCCCCGGGGAGGCGGCTGTTTACACCTGTTAGCTGTGTCAGTTTGGATGTGGCCCAATGTGTCTGCGGCGTGCACCACTGCTATTGTTTACAAAGGCGGCGTAATGAATTTTGCTTTGACGCTGATTGCGTGAGGCTCTGTGATCTCCGCGCCCGAGCGGCACTCGACGACAAACCGCTCGCTTCCTGAAGCGCGCGCGTGGGGCATCCCGCCACTCCGCGCCCTCCGCAACGACGCCTGGCGGTTAGCACGCCGCACCACGAACCCGAGTTCGATTCCCGCTCGCGGCCAACATCGGCGACGAATGTCTGAACCGGTCTTGGCCCTCCTCTAGGTCGACCTAAATGAGTATCTAGTGTGGTGCGTGAACATCAGCATGGGGAGACAAAGGCGGTCGGGTGTGTTGCTGGCTAGCCACTCTCTCGTTGGGGCGCCGTGCCAGCCGCTCGCTAAATGCGCTTGCTCCAACGGTCTCTTGTGGATTTTGCTCACTCGATGCAATTCCCAGCGCTCGCGTCGTCCGGAGGGGAAATTTGCCCATCGGCCAATTGGCGACGCGGTTTACCCGGGGGCCGAACGCCGGAGGGCGACGACCGCCCTCACGGGCGCCGGCGTCGTCGATCCGGGGGCGTTTGCTCGTAATGAAGACGATCAGCGCCACGGCGCAAGTGGGGAGGAGATGGCCGTGGCTCACAGGGAGCGCCGTTAATGAGGCCACGTGACGCGCTTAGCACTGGGGAGGGGGGGGGGTGGAGGCCGCGGCGCGCACTTGTGGCACAGGGCGCACTCAATTACCACTCGGCTCTGCTCGATTATAATTTTAGTGGCTTTACAGGGGAGTTTCAAACCATCGATTGTTATCTCTGTTTGTCTATCCTCTGTAACGGGGGTGGGGGAGGGGGCAGGGGGGTGGGGGAGGGACGATAGCTCTCGTTAAGTTGATTCAACGTGAACGAAGCTTCATTGTGAAGCTGCGTCGCGAACACTCGCCACTCGAGACGGAGCGCCGCTCCCGTGCCGTGCCCCCCCTCCGCTAACCCTTTAACCCCGCCCTGGATTAGAGAGGGGGGGGCGGCACGCTGAACGAACTTCAAACAAAAGCTGAACGCTGATCAAGACGAGTATCAATGATTGACTTGACTTGAACAGTTTAGAAAAGGGGAGCCTTGTGTGTGTCTGTCCACTCTGCCACATGCAGAAGTGCACGTACGTGCATGTGCGTACAGGAGTGCACGTGCGTGCGTGGATATGGGAAGGGGTAGTGTCGTGCTTAGCGCACTGTGTTACGAACCCGGCGGCTCGAGTTCGATTCCCGCTTCCCGCCAATAAGAGTGGCGAATATCGGAACCAATGCCTGGGCCTCCTCGAGGTCGAGCCAGTGCGGTGTGTAAACATCAGCACTGAGGAGTCAAAGGTGGCCGGGCGTGGTGTTGCCCCCCCCCCACCCCTTGTGTACCACAGCGCCGGCCCTCATAGGTGCTCGCTACTAGCAGCACTAAGCGGGGGATGTTTGTCTTTGTATCCACAGGAGTGCCCGCAGCTGCTGGCGCCCTCCGCGGACGTGCTCATCCCGGCCGGCGTGGTGCGGCACGTGACGCTGGCGGCGCGGAACCTGCCCCAGCCGCAGTCGGGCCAGCGCGGCTACGAGTGCGTGCTGACGCTGGGCGGGCGCGAGGAGCGCGTGCCGGCGCTGCGCTTCAACAGCTCCAGCGTGCAGTGCCAGGAGATCGCGGTACGGACTCGCCGTGTGCCGCGTGCCGCGTGACGCGTGCCGCGTGCCGCGACGGAAATGCGAGCGCCCGAGCCCCGCGAGCCCGAGAGCCGGCGCTCTCACTGGGCGGCGCAAACCGCCGGATGGGATTTGACAATAAATACGATCTAGATGCTGGCGCCGCCGATAAAAACACCCAACCGCCAGGGATTTTAATTGCAGCGACATGAATAATTTAGCGGTGGCGTGCGGCTTGTGGCGGTTAAAGTGCACCGCCGCTCCGCCCAACAGGAGGAAGCGCTAGCTGATCGCGTGATTTTAATTTAATTAGGCTGGGGTGGTTACAAGTAGCCAGCGCCGTTAATCTCCCCGCGCTGGCTCTGCCGAGTTGTAATCAGTTCGGCTTGCCACGCCGCCCGTGTCCTCTTTCTCCGGTCCCGTTGATCGCTCGCGGATTTCTTATCCCACCGCTCGCTCCGTTTGCTCGCCACGTGTCCCTTTCATCCCTGTTCTCTCGCCTTGCTCATTCCCCCGAGTTCCATCGCTCGCGTGATGGGGCTCTCCGCTCGTTCCCGTCACCTGTTCAGTGACTCGTGTCCCGTCCCACAGCTCGCTTCTCTGCTCCACCGCTCGCTCGTTCGCTCACCCTCTGTTCTAGCTTTTGCTTGCCACACGTTGCATCACTCGCGCATTGCTCGCCCCTTTACTCAGTCACTCACCTCACATCCCATCGTTCACTCATTAGGTCACTTACACTCCCTCACTCACTGACTCACTCACCATTTCATTCATTCACCCGCTCACTCACTAACCCATTCATTCATTTGCCCACACACCCACTGACCCGCTCCCTTGCTCACTCCCTCGCTCACTCACTCTGCTCGCCCCAGAGTTGGGAGGCCCAGCCTGGGTGTTTCTGTGCCACCGCTGCCGATGAGATTCGCCCCACAGTCCCCCCCCCCCCTCTCGACCGATGTGTAGTGGCAGCAGCAGCAGCGGTGGTGATCGCGACCCAGACATGGCGCGCTTCCCGTGGTGTTTGTTTGTTTGTTTAGGCTGCAAAGTAACGGCCATGACGACGGTCATAATAATAATAATAATTATATTTACACCGACGTTACTTCACGGCCACAGTTTGTAACTGAGTGGGGTTGGGGAGGTGGGGGGAGGATGTGGTGGTTGGAGGGGCACGGCGATGATGATGATGATGTGTGTGATGTACCAGCGTTGGAACGCGGTGGGTGAGATGGGGCTGATTGAGCCCCGGGAAGGAGGCCAAGGCTGTAATGGGAGCCGAAGGAAATGCCGGATTCCGGGGAACACAAACATCCGCCTCGCGTATTTTGCTGCCCTCAGTAACCTTGGCGTTAAAATAATATCGCCTCTACTCCACGCGAGCGGTGGAGCAGCGGTTAGCGCGCCGTGCCATGGCCGCGGCGACTCGAGTTTGATTCCCGCTAGCGGCCAACATCAGTGGGACGAATATCCAAACCGGTTCTAGGCCTCCGCTAGGCCGCTCATGGTTAACTCATGGAGAATGTCAGCGTAGCACTGCTGTTGCCCTAGGCCTTCAATGAGTACCTGGCACACTTTCCCTAACAGTCTGTTGAAGACTATATGGGGAGATCTTTGTCTTTGGAGCCGGTAGTGTAGCGGTTAGCGCACTGCACGACGAACCCCTCGACCCGAGTTTGACTCCTGTTCACAACCAACATGGGTGACGAATAGTTGGACCGATCCTGGGCCTCCCCTAGGTCGACTCAAATGAGTACCTGATGCAGTGTGTAAGCATTGGCACTCGGCGACAAAGGCGGCCAGGCATACTTCTGGCCAAGAATCCCCTCATGTGCATCAAACGTCTGTTAAGGCTCCATGGAGGATCTTTATTTTGTGTGTGTGTGGTGCTACGAGGACCGCCGTCGACGTGCGTGTGTGCATGTGTGCGCGTGTGCGCGTGTGTGTGTGTGCGTGCGTGTGTGCGCGTGTGTGCGCGTGTGTGTGTGCGTGTGTGTGCGTGTGTGTGCGCGTGTGTGTGTGTGTGCGTGCGTGTGCAGTATGCGTACGACGAGGACGTGGGTGACGTTCTCGTCGACTTCTCCGTCGTTTGGAATGGAGATTTCGTCATCGACAACCCGGCCGACATCAAGGGTGAGTCGCCAATTCCGGGCGGGAGTGCCAGGCGCGGTTCATCACCACCACCGCCGCCACCGCTGCATGCTCGTAGGACACGCTCCTCGCGGTGGTACATCTCAGCCGGCCCTGCGCAGCGCGACCTGCACGCAGCATCGGCCAGCGGCCCGCCACGAGGAGCCTAAGCTGCTCCCTAGTTTTGCTCAATCAACCAACTTGCTGATGATTGATCAAAGTCGAGATCTTTACCGTCCACTGTGACGCAAGCCGCACGTTGTCGTGTTTCGTGGCTCCAGTATTAACCAGCGCGGTCACTGGGGTTCCTATAATTAGTTGGTGACGCGGAGAGCCACCCGCAAAGAGTATTGCTCAGGAGGGACCCGCTACACTGGGATGTTTGGTCAACAGCAGTTACACAGCGTGTGCGGGTTTAACTATGGGAGGAGGAAACCCGTCCACAACAGCGGGAGGTCATACAAACTACACACGGACAGGATGCCAAGTTGGGAATCCAACACAGGCACTTGTGGCTGCGTGCTACCGCCGTGGGCGCCCAACGGGTTCGAACCGCGACCCTCGGCAACGAGCGGCGATCGCGCCACGGCCGCCCTCCCCCGGCGATGCTTTCCCGCGCGGACGCCACAAATCACGGAGAAATACCCCGGTGAGCCGGGAGCATCCTTAATTGAAAGTGGGGGGCACCCTTATCGCCTCGATTGCGTAACGCGCATCGCGCTCCGAGTTAAAAATAGGAAGATCGCCGCACGCTAATGGTCCGTGGTTAATGGCACTCGTATCAGATGGCGAGCTCCGTGTCGCGTGCTCTTTTGTGCCGAGCTTTAAGTGTGCGCGTGCATGCGTGCGTGCGTTCCCATCCCAGCGGCCTCTGAACTTAAATTTTCCATTTGCCCACGCTGCAGCCGGCATCAACAGCGGCGCGTGACGGCGTGCGGGCTCGCCCGCGCCCATAGCGTCTCAAACACAAACCGCCAGCAGACCGCCAGAAGTCTGCCAGCAGCCTGCCTTTGCGCAGGCAGCATACGCGTGTGCACTGACACACACACACACGCTCATGCGCACGTGCGCACACGCGCACTGAGACGCACGCACAAAAACCCTGAAACGCGATCGACCCCGCGGCCGCTGACGAACGGGCGTCTGGCCGCGGCCGCTTGCCGTGCCGGGTTAATCGGGATTCCCGTCCACTTAGGATCCATCTCGCCGTGACGGACGATGGGGAGCGGCGGTGTCCTGGGACTCGCGGGGTCGGAGGTCGCGCTAAAACAACCCCCGCACGCGCAAATAAATAAATAAAGCCCGCGTAGCCGAGCGCCGAGCGGCACGCGGGCGTCCCAGCGGCTCGCCGCCGCCGCGATCGGCTGCGGCCGGCGTAGCCACCGCCATCTCTCGCTGGCCGTGATTGACTCGCACGCCACTCTGGCCCTGCCGGCGTGGGACGCCGGCGCTGGTGGGCAGCCAGAGGAGGGAACCACGTAGATGGAGCGGAAACACTCCGATATTTCAGAGGAGCGGCACTCTTCATTCCAACTTGAGGCCAATCGAACAGGCAGCGACCTCGTCGGTCGGTCTCACTTCTCGGCCGCATATCAATAATTACTTCTTATAGATCCAGCCCCACGGGAAAGAGGAGCGCAGCAAATCCACGCGGACTGCGAGATGCTCGTCGCCTTGGAGGGAGGCCTTCGTCCGGCAGTAGATCGATCGTCGCCGACGATGAACATGAGCGTCGTTGCCTCCATGTCTTGGGCCGCGCTGCGAATTTGGAGTGGACGTGGCAAATGGTTGTTGTGTTCACGTGGGCGTGCATGTGTTCACGTGGGCATGCGTGTGTGCTTGTGTGTCCTGTGTTCACGTGGGCGTGCGTGTGTGCTTGTGTGTGCTGTGTTCATGTCGGTGTGTGTGTGTGCTTGTGTGTGCTGTGTTCACGCGCGTTGCGAGCAGTGCACCTGTACAAGTGCTCGGCCGCGCGCGACAGCTGCGGCCTGTGCCTGAAGGCCGACGCACGCTTCGAGTGCGGCTGGTGCAAGGGCGAGGAGCGCTGCACCCTACGCCGGCACTGCGCCGCGCCCGACCTGCACTGGCTGCACCGTGGCATGCCCCTCGCGCGCTGCGCCCACCCGCGCATCACCGAGGTTCGGCACCGCAACGCGTCTGTCCGTTCGCCCACCGCTTTCCTGACGCTGCGATGATTGTCACCCGCACCCACCACCCACTCACGCGTCGCTTGGTTGTCCTTCCCCCGCACCTGCGATTAGCACGGTTGTCGACGTACGGTGCAAAATTAATTTCAACATACGTACGTACGTCCGGTGACCGGCACACAGCACACGGCACCGTGCCAAACCGCGTCCGTCCACCGCTCACTGTGCATCACCGTGGCTTAGCCGCACGCGCTTTGATCTTCCCAACCTGCGCGTCGCTCGCTGAGGTTCTTGAATCGATCTGTGTGGAGTTTGAGAGTGCTGTGTAACGTGCCCTGTAGCACGACCCTCCTGAAAGGGAGTCCCAAGGCTTAAGACTCGTTGTGTTATTGGCATTACAAACGCGTGCCCGCAGCACGCCACAACATCGCTCAACATAAACCGCGCACCACCGCGCACTCAGACCGGTCGTGCGGTCGCCGCGGTTCGGCGGCAGCACTTAACCGCACGCCACGAGCCCACCCCCTTGCACGCCCCACGTCGCCGACTCCGGCTCCGTGCTCCGCGCTCCGCGCTCCGTGCTCCAGTCTCGGAGCAACGGCACTCTGCGGCCACTCGTGCACGCGCGCGTCCATGCACGGGCGTTGCCGGCTCTTACAAACTCGAGGGGGTGGGCAGACGGGCGGGCGAGTGGTCGAGAGTGCACATCGAGGGCCCAGCTGCGGTCCGCGTGCCAGCGCCGCGCGGCGTTGCCGCGGCTGGAGCCGCCGTCGCGGCTCGCGCACGACGCGTCTTGCCAGCTGGCCGTCGCTCATTTGCGTGATGAGCGCCGTTCGCCGGCTCTTGCCGGGTTAAGCGAGTGAATTATTGATAAACCGGGAGGCGCTAACGACGCGGATTGTTCGGCCGTTGCGCAGCGCGCTGCCGGTTAGCGCCGCGGGCTTTCGCGCCGCCTCTCATCGTTTTCTTTGATTCGTATCACGGAGTGGGAAGTCGCGCTTGGAAGCGCGCGGCGCGACGTCGCCCCGCCCCTCCCCCCGAGCAGAAACGACCCCGCGGAAGCGGATGTCGTAGAGCCGTTCCGGAGGTCCTCCTCCGATTGCACCCTGGTACCCACGCCGGCGGGCATCGAGTGCCCACTGCTCACCCTGCCGTCGCGGTGCCCACGTCGCTCCACGCGCAAAATTGTACTTGCGTGACGCTTCCTTCGGTCGCATCGGAACCCGGCACACCGCACGCCCCACGAGCCGCCGGCTCAAGTTGGTTCTCATCAAGCCCATCAACTGTCGTCACCGTCGCCACGATGGTCGTCATCGTCACGAGAGGAGAGTGCGCTCGCGCAGGCCGCAAGCAAACCGGCACGACTCCCACTGCGCAATCCATTCTGCCGCTCGCCGACCGACCACGCGGATAAATATACGGTGAGGAATTAAGCCCCAGGGGCTACTAATGTTAGGGCAACCGGACAGCCCCCCCTTCCCCCCGCCCCACCGTCTCGCCCCGCCCCCCGCTCTCTGTCATGACGGCAGCCGGCGACAACGTGAACGATTCGGGGGCGGACGCGGCGCAGCTGCTGGCCGTGTCCACGCGCCTCTCCCTCGTCTGTGCGCTCACGGCGCGGCGGCGTGGGGCGGGGGGCGGGGGACGGGGGGCTGCTACGCGCGTGTGGGCCGGAGCCGCCCTCCTGGGGCCGGGGGTGCAGGCCCTCCGCACCCCCCCCCCCACACAACTCCCGCAACGGGGCCACCGGCAGCAGCCATGTTCAATCCGCTGCTGGACGAAGGCCTCCCCGAGCCATTGCCGTTTCTCACGATCGCGCGATGCAGCCCGGCCATTGTCGCTCGCCCTCGACAACCGATCTCGAACCGCCGCCTCCACCGCCGCCGTCAGCACCGCCGCCACCGCCATCAATGCCGCAACTTCGTCACCGACGCCGCTAGTGCTGGCGCTGCCTCAGCCGGCCAAACGGATGGTGCACGTGCGTGGCCGCGCGTCGCTCGCTGACATTTGTGCCAGCGGGCGCCACGCGGCGTGCCCCCCACGGGCGCCACGCGGCGGGCCCCCCGCGGGCGACGCGCCGAGCCAGCGCTTTTTAATATTTATTCCTCCCCACTTCCTCGCCACCGCGCGGCCCCAGGCGCACGAGCGCCGAGCGCCGCCCGTGAATAATTAATCCTCCGGTCCCCAGCAGCAGGGCCCACTTTACGACACTGAGGCGCCTGCCCGCGCCTGCCACTGTGGGGTCGTCCGTCTTCGAGAGCAGGAAGCGGGGGTTGACGGCGATTGCCCAGACGCCAGTCGGCTTCTTGCTGCTTGCTGGTTTGTTTTGGAGTCTCCACCTTCTGGGAAGAGATCATCGTCCGCACCGTCGTCCTCGTACAGGCGTAACAGGTGGACTCCACATTTTTGCCGTACCGCCTTCTCCCGGCAGAGCCAGGGTACGATTCCTCCTCGACGCCCGCCCGCGGGAATGTGGGTTTCACAACATCCGTGTGCGGTGATCCACCAACCCTCGCTGCTGCCTCCACAGCGCCAGGTGACAGGCAGCCACGTGGAACTGCATAGCCACGGCGGTGGGAGTGGTGGCTTCCTGCGCCGCTGCCGCCGCTGTGAAGGAGCAGCGGCCGTGCAGACTCTGCGTGCTGCCGGAGCCATCCTTGAGGCTCATCTGGCAGCATGGAGAGAGCGCCGGCACCCTGGCACGCCGCAGGAGACGGCGCGGCCCCCGTCGCAGAGGCGTGCGGCCGGGTTGAAAAAAAAAATCTATTTGTCAAAAACGATGACTGCTCGTCCCCCCCAGCGAAACAAATTGTGGTGGGGGAGGGGGGGGACGTCCTGGCACCCCCCCGCCCCCCGATGACCTGGATAGCGATTGCCATTGTCACGATCGCTAATGTCGCCGCATTACCCCGGTCGATTCCGTGACAGATGTTTGTTTTCACAGGCGTCATTTGCAACCATCGATTAATTTTTTACATATTTCATTTCATCATTGTCATCGTCATCGTCGTCAACAACCCCGGTGCATGGCTTGATGTTTCGTGTTTGTCCGGCTGGCTCAAGGCCGTGAACGGGAGATGCACATAATAGCAGCCAATCGTGTTGACGTTCGACAGATATCAAGTAATTCACCAAAAAGTTTGTTTTTACTGAAGGTCCGCGACCTGACCCAGGCAGAGAACAAAGCGGATTGGAGGAGAGGAAAGCGTCTCTGAGACGGCCGCCTCACTGACATCTGCGAGTCGCAGAGCGACAGACGTTGCCCATTTCGGTTGAACCCCCATCTCCCCGTTGCTGTGGGCGCCACGTCGGTTCAGGGAGCGTGCCTCCTTGCGCGACTTGAGCCGCGTCGACGGCCGGGGCTTGCGGTGACGTTGGGGTGGAGGCACGGCGGGGGGTGGGTGGCCCTCTCCCCCTCTCTCTTCCCCCCTCTGTGCTCTTAGGCAATGAATGTCGGCTGTGCGTGGTGCCAGCGATCGAGGGCGTGCATGCCGGTTCCCACTCGGTCGCCTCGCGTCTCCCCCTCCACCCTCTGCAAGCATTCGCGTGCGACGCTGCCTGTGCTGCTGCTGATCATGACGATTACGATGCTGCTGCTGTTGATGTTGATTAGAATCGAATTGCGGGCAGCAGCGGTAGAGAAAGGAACACTTGGTGACCGAATGGAACTCGTGCCGTCCTTGCGTGCGTGTCTGTTTTCATCGCGTAAACATTTTATAATGTTTTAAATGTTTAATTATGTTGATAGAAAGCCGAGATTGGGGTGCGTGGTGCCAGCGGACGGCGTTGTGCAATGACTCCTTCTGGGTCTTGTTGTTTTTTAAACGCCGTCATTACGGACATTAGGGGGGGGACATTACCCACGCAGGTCTTATTAATGTTTCCCGTGGAATTCAGAAGATTTTGGGGGGGGGGGTGGGGTGGAGTGGGGGGATGTGGGCCGGGGGGGGATAGGGGGTGGGCTTGGCAGGGTTTGTTGCCAATGGAAGGGCAGTGAGGGCACGGGAAGTGAGGGATACAAAGGCGGCCGGGCGTGGTGCTGGCCACCCACCCCTCGTGTGCCGTACTGCCCTTCATAGGTGCTGTTGCTCGCTAAAAGCCCCGACACTTGAAGACTGTACGGGGCGTGTGCGGGATTGGGTTCCATTACAAGCTTGCTACGCAAGTGAGCTGCTAGACCATCTCGAGGTGTTATCCGAGTGAGATATTTGAATTAAAAAAGACAACAACACAATGGGCACGACCCGGAAACCCGCCGTCGGGGAGCCGAACAGCAGAGCCGCGAGGCCCTCCTAGTTGGGAGCAGCGCTCCGAGTCGAGAGGAGCGCTCTGAGTCCGAGGGCTTGCAGCAGAGGGCCGAGCCTGGACAGACATCCCCCGCGTAGCGTCCGCAGACCGTCGGGGCGAGCGCCGTCAGCAAGCGTCTGCGACGGCCGGCACGGCACACCTCAGAGCCGATGTTTGTTTTAATGCTGCACCGCGTGCTCGCTTAGGGTTGAGTCGACCTACGGGAGGCCCCAGACCACCGTGAGCGGGTATCGAACTCGGGTCTCTGCCAAGTTCGCGGTGCACGGACACACAGGCACGCACGACACTCGCCGCTCGAGTGAGGTGCGTGGAATCTACCCTTGAGCTCATCCAATTAGGGCTCTGCTCATAATTGGCTTCTTTCAGTATCGATTCTCGCCATGATTACAGGAAGCTACGGTTTAAACGGCACCGGTTTATTGTTGTTAGCGGTGTAAATGTGTAATTAATTAATTAAATTGCCGCACAATTAGCGGCGCGGATTCTCGGCGAGAGAGCAGCGGTGCGCGGAGAGGCGCCTGCCGGGAGTGACAGCGCGGGGCCGAGCGAGGAGCGCGCGGAGTCGAGAACGCACGCACACGCAGGTTGGCAGAGTGGAGGGGCACTGCGAAGGCTCGCGGAGGCCTCTATCCAGCAGTGGATAGATCGTGACCGACACGATTAACGGCGAGAGCTGCAGAACCCAAGCCCCGGCCGGCAGCGCCGGTTCATCACCGAGTCCCCGGCCCCTCCCGCCCCTCCCCCCGCCCTGTGTCCCCCCGCGAGAGGCCTCGTGATTTATTCATGTCAACGGCCGCTCACAAAAACCACGCGCACGCAAATATATATAAGTACGTTGACCCGGAGCCCTCGCGGCGTGCGGGCCGAGCCGCCCGCGGCCTCTCGCATCGCTCGCCGCGCCGCAGGTCTCGTTACCGTAAGCGGCAAACAGGCGCCGAAACGCAGAAATAACGAGACGTATGGCCGGAGGGGGGGGGAGCGGCCCGCGACTGGCCCGCTCTGCGTACATCGAAGTTGTTTCGCACCGCACGGAGCCGACCGACCGAGCGGCCGGCGGACTGAGATTGCATGAAATGAAAATTGCGGCGGCGCGACATCGCGAGCGGGGGGAGCCGGCGCTGCCAACTCCTTCGCGCGGAAAGCCGTCAATCCAATCTCGAGCGGCTGCCACGTTAACCTCGCGAGGCTGCCGGGAGAAGATCGGGCACGGCCGGTCACAAAGTAGTGGAGCGGAGCGGCGTTGCTCGGCGCTCCCCGCCGCGGACACGGCGTTCAATCGCACGCCCATTTTTGATCAATTTGAAAACATTTTGCGGCGATAGAGGGTCCCTGGCGCGGCGCCGGGCACGCTCCCAGCCCCGCGTTGCGACCTCCTGCCAAGGAGGCGCTCGGCTCCTCTCATGGTTTTTTGTCGCGACACAAAACCTCAAGACAAAAACCACAGAGTTGGCAACGCTGAGTAGGAGGGGGGGGGCAGGGAGTGGGGGGCAGGGCGAGGGGGGCAGGGTGAGGGGGGCAGGGAGTGGGGGCAGGGTAAGGGGGGCAGGGAGAGGGGGGCAGGGTGAGGGGGGCAGAGAGTGGGGGGGCAGGGCGAGGGCGGCAGGGAGTGGGGGGCAGGGTGAGGGGGGCAGGGAGTGGGGGGCAGGGAGTGGAGGGCAGGGAGTGGGGGGCAGGGAGTGGGGGGCAGGGAGTGGGGGGCAGGGCGAGGGGGGCAGGGCGAGGGGGGCAGGGCGAGGGGGGCAGGGCGAGGGGGGCAGGGCGAGGGGGGCAGGGCGAGGGGGGGCAGGGCGAGGGGGGCAGGGAGTGGGGGGCAGGGCGAGGGGGGCAGGGCGAGGGGGGCAGGGCGAGGGGGGCAGGGCGAGGGGGGCAGGGAGTGGGGGGCAGGGCGAGGGGGGCAGGGCGAGGGGGGCAGGGAGTGGGGGGCAGGGCGAGGGGGGCAGGGAGTGGGGGGCAGGGCGAGGGGGGCAGGGAGTGGGGGGCAGGGCGAGGGGGGCAGGGCGAGGGGGGCAGGGAGTGGGGGGCAGGGTGAGGGGGGCAGGGAGTGGGGGGCAGGGTGAGGGGGGCAGGGAGTGGGGGGCAGGGCGAGGGCGGCAGGGAGTGGGGGGCAGGGCGAGGGGGGCAGGGAGTGGGGGGCAGGGAGTGGGGGGCAGGGAGAGGGGGGCAGGGAGTGGGGGGCAGGGAGTGGGGGGCAGGGAGTGGGGGGCAGGGTGAGGGGGGCAGGGAGTGGGGGGCAGGGTGAGGGGGGCAGGGCGAGGGGGGCAGGGCGAGGGGGGGCAGGGCGAGGGGGGCAGGGAGTGGGGGGCAGGGTGAGGGGGGCAGGGAGTGGGGGGCAGGGAGAGGGGGGCAGGGAGTGGGGGGCAGGGAGTGGGGGGCAGGGAGAGGGGGGCAGGGGGAGGGGGGCAGGGAGTGGGGGGCAGGGCGAGGGGGGCAGGGAGTGGGGGGCAGGGCGAGGGGGGCAGGGCGAGGGGGGCAGGGCGAGGGGGGCAGGGCGAGGGGGGCAGGGCGAGGGGGGCAGGGCGAGGGGGGCAGGGAGTGGGGGGCAGGGAGTGGGGGGCAGGGCGAGGGTGGCAGGGCGAGGGGGGCAGGGCGAGGGGGGCAGGGAGTGGGGGGCAGGGCGAGGGGGGCAGGGAGTGGGGGGCAGGGAGTGGGGGGCAGGGAGTGGGGGGCAGGGAGTGGGGGGCTGGGCGCGCCGGTGGGTAATGCACTTGGCGTGCATGCCGTGAGGAGTTGGTGCAAAGCTGCGTGTGTCTGTGTGTCCGTCTTTCCGTGTCTATTTTTTCGTGTGCTTCTGTGTTACACGTGTCCGCCCGTGTGTACGTGACCGTGTTGACCCGTGCTTGCCTGTTCTAACTCGCATGCAAACCTTTCTGTGCTTTGCCGTGATATTCGCGTGTACGTAAGCGATCCTCCGACCTGCGTTTAGCGCGTACTCGTGCGTACCGGTGATCCGTGCGTACCTGTCGCCGTGGTAACCTCTGGTCCAGTTAGTGAGCTGGTGCACCTCTCACCTGCCCGTACCCGTGGTTACCCGCGATTGCCCGTGCGCTCGTGCGTCCCCAGGTGAGCCCTCTGACAGGGCCGCGCGAGGGCGGCACGCTGGTGACGATCCGTGGGGAGAACCTGGGCCTGAGCTTCTCGGAGATCGGCCGCCACGGCATGGTGATGGTGGCAGGGGTGGCCTGCCAGCCGCTGCGGGACCTCTACATCCCCGCAGAGCAGTACGTGTGCATGTGCGCGCGTGTACGTGTGTGCGCGCGTGTGTGTGTGCGTGTTTGTGCGTGTGCACGTGTGTGTGTGTGTGTACGCGTGTGTACGTGTGTGTGTGTATGTACGCGTGTGTACGTGTGTGTGTGCGTGTGCGCGCGTGTGTGTGTGCGTGTGCACGTGTGTGTGTGTATGTACACGTGTGTACGTGTGTGTGTGTATGTACGCGTGTGTACGTGTGTGTGTGTGTGCGCATGCGTGTGTGACATGCTGGCCTTCATAGGTGCCCGCTAACAGCATGTTCAAGCTCGAGGGGGGATCTTTGTGTTTGCTTTGCGTGTGCAAGTGTGTGTGTGTGTATGTGCGCGTGTGTGTGTGTACGTGTACGCGTGTGTACGTGTGTGTGTCTATGTGCGTGTGTGTGTGTGCGTGTACGCGTGTGTACGTGTGCGCGGGTAGCGTTGGCGCAGTGTACCCCAGTTCGATTCCCGCTCATGGCCAACGTCGGTTACAAATTTTCGTACCAGTGCTGCGCCTTCCCTAGGTTTACTCAGCCTAAAATTAGTATCTGAAAGACATCAGCATTTCAGCACTGGGGAGACAAAGACAGCCGGATGTGGTGCGGCTACCCACGTTCTCGTGTGCTGTGCTGGCCTTAATAGGCACTCTCTAACTACACTTTCCCCAACAGCGTGTTAAAGGCTATGCGGGGGATCTTTGTCTCTGTGCGTGTGAGAGCACTTTTCCCAGTGAACTCGCCGTGACACGGAGGATCTAATTGAAGGCAGCGGTGCAATTTAATCCAATAAACCAAAACCCGCTCTGCCTGTTTGGACGCAATATTTTGACTCAATATCCCACCCGCAGTTCTCCTTCCGAGTTCGTAAATTGATTTAGAAGATGAAAAAAAAACCCAACCGAGGCTTTCATTTTTTGCGGCGGCGGCGTCGTTACGAATCGCTCCACGGCCAAACAAAACCAAGAGTGGCGATTCGACCTGGGCGCACTTCCCGCGGACGCTGAACTCAAACGACGGTGACGTTTACGTGCGCACACAAAGTGACGCAAACCGCAATCGGCGTCGGCTGCGTCGTAACAGCAGCGGAAGATGTGCGGCGCGTTAATGGCCGCTTTTACTTACCCTCGATCCCCACGCGGTCACAATAGAGTGTCAGCTGCTGTCCGTTCGACCGGCCTGATGATAATTCGCCGCTCGCGGAAATCGATAAGTGGGCCGTGTCCGGCGTCGTCTTCTTCATTCCGCTGTGGGCGGCGGCGCGCTGCCCCGGCGAGGCGCGGTGTAATCGTTCCGAAATCCGATATTCGCCGGGAAAGGTCATGTTCCCCACCTCGGGACCCCCCTCGGGTCCCCCCCCCTCGTATCCCCCTCCCCTCCACCCCCTTCCACGCTCGTCCACGCTCGTCCACGCTCGTCCACCCCTCGCCGCTCTCACTTCGCTCCTCGAAACACTCGGCTGAACTCTCTGAACAAAGCGCCCCCCCTGCCGCCAGGGGTGCGGGCTCCAAACGGATCATTGTTCCCGCACGCACACACGCGTGTCTGTGCGTCTGTGTGCGTGTCTGTGTGTGTGTGTCTGTGTGCGTGTGTGCGTGTGTGCGTCTGTGCGTAGGGGAGCGGCGGTTAGCGCGATGCGCTACGAACCCGGCAATCCCAGTTCGATTCCCGCTCACGGCCAGTGACAATTATGTGAATCGGTCCTCAGCCTCCCCTAGGTCGACTCAGCCTTGAATGATTTCCTGGTTTGGTGTGTTAAACAATAGTGCTCGGGAGAGAAAAGGGGACTCATCGGTGCTCGCCAACAGCTCTTGCCCCACCAGCGTGTGTAGGCTACACGGGGATTGTTGTCTTTGTGTGCACGTGCTGCATTTTGTGCACAGCACACAGAAGCATGCACACCGATGCAAATGTTTTGACGCCCCTTTTAGCGGGCTGGAGACCAATGTGGCCTAGCCACATGATCGCTCACTTACCTGCTCACTGACTCACCTGCCCATCTTTTCAGCTACTCAATGACTCACGAGTTCCCCTGCCCACCTGTTCATGGCTCAGCTGCCCACGTACCTACCCGACAGGATACTAACTCACCTACCCCACAGTTCACTCTCTCGCCTTACACTCAGTCCCGGCAGCTCGCTAACTGACCTACTCACCCACCCACCCAACAGATCACTAGCTTCCTAAACAGCTCGCTGACTCACCAGCTTACTCACTCACCAGCTCACCAGCTCACTCACCAGCTCACTCATTCACCAGCTCACTCACTCACCAGCTCACTCACTCACTCACTCACCAGCTCATTCACTCACCAGCTCACTCACTCACCAGCTCATTCACTCACCAGCTCACCAGCTTACTCACTCACCAGCTTATTAATTCACCAGCTCACTCACTCACCGCTCACCAGCTCACTCACTCATCAGCTCACTCACTCACTTACTCACCAGCTCACTCACTCACCAGCTCACTCACTCACTCACCAGCTCACTCACTCACCAGCTGACTCACTCACCAGCTCACTCACTCACTCACCAGCTCATTCACTCAACAGCTCAGTCACTGACTCACCAGCTTACTCACTCACCAGCTCACCCACTCACCAGCTTACTAATTCACCAGCTCACTCACCGGCTCACCAGCTCACTCACTCATCAGCTCACTCACTCACTCACCAGCTCACTCACTTACTCACCAGCTCACTCACTCACCAGCTCACTCACTCACTCACCAGCTAACTCGCTCACCAGCTCACTCACTCACTCACTGACTCACCAGCTCACTGACTTACCAGCTCACTCCATCGACCAGCTTACTCACTCACCAGCTCACTAACTGGACCAGATCACCAGCTCACCAGCTCACTCACTCGAACCTTGACGTGTGCTGGGCTCTTGTGCAGAGTTTGCACCGATGTCTGGGCCCCCCCCCCTCGTTTTGAAGTCTTCCCGCGGACAGCTTATTACATTATTTAGCTGCTTAGCTTTCAGTTTACGTCTCAGAGTCTCCGAGCATCTTTTATTTATGGCCAGTGTTGATATGTGTGCGATTTTAATGTTCTTTGAAACAGATACGCACAGATGTATTCCCCCATTCTTAAATGCACTCATCTGTCTCATAGATGTAAACAATAACAATTATAATGTGTTATCTAAAGGGCAATAATTGCCCGCTATTTATCCAGGACAGCTTAACCGAGTCTCAAGACTCGCCTTCAGGAGGGTCCTGCTCCTACTTCACTGGAATATTTGACTCCGCGTGGAAGGGAAAAACCGGAGACCCCGGAGACAACCCAGCAGGGGGGGTGGGGAGACGCTCAGAGCTCCGCACAGATAGATTCAATAATCCATTGCTGTACTACCATCTTATAGCGACCTCGCAGCCCAATGCTACAGCTCTGGGTGCTTCCAGGTAGTGTCCCACCCACGTACTAACCAGGCTCAACCCGGCTTCTCTTCAAATATCTGATGAGATAGGAGACTACATTCATCATCACCATCACCCATTATCTATCCACTGGTGCTGTAATGATGAGCACGTAATGATATTACTCGACTTGAAGTAGGGTATAACCACGTGTAGAGTAATGGGGTCACGTCACGCCTGCAACAATATAGGGGTGCTAACATTCACTACTCACCCACTCACCCTGCGTCGTGAATCCTGTGGGCAGGCTCGCAATCTGATGGTTGTGAGTTCACATCCTGACTGGGGGGGAGGGGAGGAGGGGATTTCACTCAGCTCATCATCTCTCCGGGGCGATAAAAATCAGCATCACCCTGTGGGCGGAGAGACTCGGCCCTTCCATAGGAATGTCGAATTCCCACCACCAGTGGCTCTGCATGGCTGTGAAGAGACGAGCCACGCTGGCTCAGAGTGTCGTCTCTCTCTCTCGAGCGGCAACCACTCAGTGGCTCTAATAGCGGGAGAGGGGATGGTGGTGCCGCGGGACCGCAAGGCAAAGGTCCACCCCCCCCCCCCCCACCTTCAGCTCCTTGCCCTTTCTCCTGCGGTGAGAGACGCTCCCTTGCGGTGACAGCCGTCGCTGCACAGTCTGGACGGATTCTTATTAATGTATTATTCGCTTTACCCACATTCCACTCAAATAGTTTGAAGTTTTTAATCGGTTGAGAGCCCAAATTTGCCGAATGCGAAGATTGCACGGCAAGCCGCTCAATTGGGATCGCGCGCGGAGCGGCGATCTCCGCTCGCCCACAGGCGGACTGACGCCCCCCAGGGCGATCGCGCGGACGAGACTTGACGCTGGTCTCCTGAGTCCGCGCCCCGCCACGCGAACTCAACAGGAGAGCCTGGAGCCGCCGCCTCTCCGCTGCGCGCTCGCGACGTGCCACTCCGCGTCGTTCGGCACGGCGTCCGATGTTTCGATCCACGTGCCTAGAGCGTGAGCTCGCGAATCTCGCGCGCTTGGGTACCGTCGCGAGCGTCGGGATCGAGGCGCCTCGACGATAATGAGACCTTGACTACGATGAAGACGATGACAATGATGAGACCTTGACTACGATGACGACGATGACGATGATGAGACCTTGACTACGATGACGACGATGTCGCATCGACGACGATCCGCGAGGCGCGTTCTCACCGGAGCTTGTGCCACCACGCAGGATCGTGTGCCGGATGGCACGCGCCGACGGGCGGCACCAGGTTCGCGGGCACGCGCACATCTGCGTGGAGGAGTGCGTGGCGCAGTACATGGCTCTGTCCAAGCAGGTCTACACCTTCGTGGTATGTCCCGCACGCACGCACACCGCACGTCACACGGCACCACGTATGTAGGGTGCGGTGCCACGCGTGCGCACGGATTTTCCGGACCCCGTGGCTGGTGGGGGAGAGGTGATGAGTGATGGATGTTGGGGTCGAAGGGCGGTGGAAGCGGGGGGGGGGGGGACGTGGGCCGGGTGCGAAGGGAGACGGAGAGGTGGTGGAGCGTGGGTGCGAAGGCGGCGGGTAAGGCAAGGACGCGTGATCTACGCGCGTCACAACCTCGATCGATGGCAATAACGCCAACGTCAATGGGCACGGGATTAAATACAGGCATGGATTTTTATAAAAACTGAAATCAATAACGGCATGCAGGTAATGTCTTCGGTTAAACCGCCACGTATAAATATTTCACAATCGCAGCGGAGCGGCTTGTGCTGGCAGGTGCCATCGGTCGCGCTGGCTCACCCTGCGCACCTCCTTCAGCTGTCGTCTCTCTCGCAGGAGCGTCTCAGATCCTCCACGGACCCTTTTGCACCGACCTCTCCATTCTCATCTCTCTCTGCTCCCCTCCACGCACTCTCCTACCTCTCATCTCTCATCTCACTCTGCTCCAGTAACCAAGGCTCTTAGTGGAAGCCCCTGGTCAACCTTCGCTCTGTGGGGGGTCGCTCATTCTCCTTTGCTGACCCCACAGTCTGGAACTCCCTTCCCGCGGCCATCCGTGCTGTCAGCTCCCTGCCCCCTGGTCAAGTTCTGGCTCCAGACCTTCCTCCTCTCCTCTGCCTGTGACCAACTGCTTCCCTCACACAGAGACCCATACACCCACACAGAGACCCATATACTCTCATAGAGGCCCATAGACTCACACGGAGACCCATACACCCACGCAGAGACCCATGGACTCTCATAGAGGCCCATAGACTCACACGGAGACCCATACACCCACGCAGAGACCCATGGACTCTCATAGAGACCCATAGACTCACACAGAGACCCATAGACTCATACAGAGACCCATAGACTCACACAGAGACCCATAGACTTACACGGAGACCCATAGAATCACACAGAGACCCATAGACTCACTCAGAGACCCATCGACTCACACAGAGATCCATACATCCACGCAGAGACCCATCGACTCACACAGAGATCCATACATCCACGCAGAGACCCATAGACTCTCAAAGAGTCCCATTGACTCCCACGAATGGACATACAGAGCCATAGACCTATAAAATAAAAACACCTGACTCTTTCTCTACGATATGTTGACAAGCGGTTGCATTTGCACGCTGTGTAACTCCACGTCGTGGTGTATCGTGTTCCTGCATGGGGAGCAGCGGTGCAGCGGTTGGCACGCTGCGTGGTGCTGTGCACCCACCCCCTCCTCGTGTGCTGTGTCGACCTTCATAGGTGCTGCTCGCTAACAGCACTTGCCCCACCAAGACTACACTGGTTATCTTTGTCTTTGTGTGTGTGCCCCTCTGCCACCCCCCCCACCCCCCCCCCCCCCCAGCAACCCGCGGTGCGCACGGTGGCGCCGGCGCGCGGCCCCGTGTCGGGCGGCACGCGCGTCTCCCTCCACGGAGTGCACCTGGACGCTGGCAGCGCGGTGCGGGTGGCGCTGGGCAACGAGAGCTGCGTGCTGCGCAGGTGACGGCGGCGAGGACGGCACCGCCGGATCGATCGGGGCGTCGTCGTGGAGACGGGAGGGAGCGTGAGCGTCGCCGCTGTTGCCGCCCGTGGTCAAATCGGTTTTTCGCGTGAAATGAGTCGACAGCCTTAGCCGGATTAGCCGGATTACACGCGGGGTCTCCCGAACCAGGCCCCTTGGCTACAGCGTCTCCACGGTGAGCGACGCCACCCCCGATCCGCCGTGCCGAGCACCCCGCCGGTGGTCGCCGCGCCACTCGCCACCGGAGCGGCCGGCAGCTTCCCTTTTGACCGGCGACCTCCACTCTGAAGATTGGCGGTCCCGTGAACTCTGACCTCGTCGCTTTTTACCCCTACCTCTGGCCACGTGACCTTTGGTCCCACAAATTCTGGCCCCGCCACTTCCTGCCTCGGTGACCCCCCGCCCCGTGACCCTTGCCCCCCGCGACCTCTGCCTCGACTTTCACGGCCGTGCCGCCAGCTTCCGAGGACGACGCGCAGCGGGGGGTCGCCGAGTGCCGCGGCGCACTCTGCCCAGGCCTGGCGGAGCGTTTACCGCTCGGCAATTACGGCCGTGCCGGCGGGACGCGACGCCGCAACGCTCCGGCTCTTGTTAGTCTCGGTCGCCCGGAGCAGATCGCTCGGCCTTTCCACTGGTGCGCGGTGACCGCTGTGGCGGTAATTGCTCTCCAGGTGTGATTTTTCCATTTGATTAGTGCGCCGAGCCCTTCGCCGTAATTAACCGTAACAGCTGCCAAAGTCCATTTTTCAAACGTGGACTAATTGGGGACTGGGGTTAAAAAAAGAGCAGCGCGAAAACATCGGCGCTGCCACCGACGCACGGGGCCGCCGGACGGCACGCTCCCCACGCCGCTGGAACAACGAGGATGCCGTGCCGATCCGTCGACCCGACGGCGAGCGCCGGGGAGCGTCGCCCCCTCCCGCTCGGTTCTGACACGACGCCGCTCGCCGACAGGGACCGCGAGCGCCGACCCGGGTTCGATTCTCGCGGAACTATCGGCCTCGCTGGCCCGCATGTAGCGCCATTCTCGGAGCAACAGGTGCTCGCCAGTAGCTCTCGTCAGCGCCACTCTGCTCGGTGTGAATAGAGAGGTCATGAACTTTGAACTCGGTCTCTGTGTGCGCGCGTTTGTGTTTGTGTCTGTTTGTGAATGTGTGCGGCTGTGTTTCTGTCTGTATCTGCGTCCGCGCGTGCGTCTGCGTCTGCGTGCGGCAGTCGGAGTGCGGGCGAGATCGTGTGCACGTCCGCGTGGGCGCCCCGCGGGCCCGACTTCGTCGCCGTCTCCGTGTCTCTGGACGGCGCCGAGCTGAGCAGCGCCCTCCGCTACGAGTACACCGAGGACCCCGTCGTGACGCGCATCGAGCCCGAGTGGACCATCACGCAGTACGCACACGCACGCGCGCACACAGGGCCAAAACGCTCGATCCCACACTGAAAATGAGATGGGGAGAACTCATTCGATGGAATCTCGGACAGCCGTCTGTTTATTTGAGCACACGTACACATACGCACTCACACGCGCCTCCATTAGATGCACGCGGTGGGAACGGCAGGCACAGCGGTTGGCTCGGTGCGCTACGAACCCGGCGACCCGAGTTGTATTTACTGCCACTGACCAGCGTGGTGAAGTATGGTCAAACAATCACCGGAGTGTCGATGGTCCTTGCCTCACTCTGCCATTGGGGTACTGAATATTGCGTTGAACCAATACTGCTGAAATGATGCACTGCCGGAAGGCCGTGTGGCTGACAGGATGTGTATAATTTAATGTGGGAAGGCGGCAGCGTATCATCATTACACAGCGGGGGGGGGGGGGCGGGGGGGGGGGCGGGGGGGGGGGGCCTTCATCCAGCAGTGGAGCGGCGGGCGCCGGGCGTGAACGGTGAACGCCGCGAGAGGCTCGAGCAAAATGAGGGCGGCGGCTCCGAGCGTGAACTCGTTCAACCCATCCCCGTCCCACTTGACACGGCTTCAAAGTGCACCTAGCCTGGCGTAACCTCGTCGAGACACCACCACCGATCGCCAGTGTTTGTAATGCGTTAGTGTGCGCGCGTGTGTGTGTGTGTCTTGTGTGGAGATAAAGGCGGCCGGCCACCCCCTCGCACCGGCCTTCATAGGTGCTCGCTAACAGCACTTGCCCCTACAGTCTGTTATGTCTACATGGGGGATCTTTGTCTTTGTGTGTGTGCGCGCAGTGGAGGAACGCTGCTCACGGTCACGGGCAGTAACTTGGGCACGGTCCAGGAGCCCAAGATGAGGGCCAAGTACAAGGGGGTGGAGAGCGTCGACGTGAGTGCTGCTGCCTCTCACCATCATCACATCACCACCATCACCATCACCACCATCATCACCACCATCATCATCACCATCATCACCACCGTCACATCACCATCACCACCATCATCACCATCAGCACCATCACCACCATCATCATCACCATCACCACCATCATCACCACCATCACATCAACATCACCACCATCATCATCACGATCATCACCACCATCACCACCATCATCATCACCATCACATCAACATCACCACCATCACCATCACCACCATCATCACCATCACCACCATCACATCACCACCATCACATCAACATCACCACCATCACCATCATCATCATCACCATCATCACCACCATCATCACCACCATCATCATCATCACCATCATCACCACCATCATCACCACCATCACCACCATCATCACCATCATCACCATCACCACCATCACATCACCACCATCATCACCACCATCATCACCATCACCACCATCATCACATCAACATCACCACCATCATCATCACATCAACATCACCACCATCATCACCACCATCATCACCATCACCACCATCATCACATCAACATCACCACCATCATCATCACATCAACATCACCACCATCATCACCACCATCATCACCATCATCACCACCATCATCACCACCATCACCACCATCATCACCATCATCACCATCACCACCATCACATCACCACCATCATCACCACCATCATCACCACCACCATCACCACCATCATCACCACCATCATCACCATCACCACCATCATCACATCAACATCACCACCATCATCACCACCATCACCACCATTGCTTGATATGGACATCGCGCCTTCCCCCATCGGTGCATGTCGAGGCGCCGAGCGGTAGTCTCGCCCAGGAGAACCCCCCGTGGCAGCTGCCGCTGTGTGGCCACGAGGTGAACGAGCGCCGCTCCGGCCTGCACGTGGGTCGTGTCCGCCAGTCGGGGCCGTGGTCGCCGCTCGCTCTCACCCAGTGGAGTCATTTGCGATGTCACTCACGGAGTTTGGCAACTTTGGACCGTGACTCCGACACGCGCACCACATTCTCTCTACACACAGATAAAGATCCTCGTATAGCCTTAACAGACTGTAGGGGCAAGTGCTGTTAGCGAGCACCTATGAACGGTACACGAGGGGGTGGGTGGCCAGCACCACGCCCGACCACCTTTGTCTCCCCAGTGGCGATGTTTGCACGCCGCACTGGCTACTCATTTGAGGCTGAGTCGACCTAGGGGAGGCTCAGGATCGGTTGAGATAATCGTCACTGGTGTTGGCCGTGAGCGGGAATCGAACTAGAGTCGTCGGGTTCGTAGTGATGCATAGAGCTAACCGCTACACACACTCACACCGCATGCAGATACACACACACAGACACATAAACATACACACACTCACACCACACACACCTAAACATACACACACTCACACCACACACGTGGAAACACACACGCATGCACACACGTAAACACAAACACATATCCCCAAGGAGGTAAACAAACTCTCGGATAGCTTCACGCAGCCCTCCGCTAAGCACCGCTGCTGCGCACGAGGCCAGGAATTGTGCAGTTGATGGGCGACGACTTCCCCCCTCCATTCAGCTGAGTGGATCTGCAGCCCCCCACACCGCTCGTTTGCACAGGGAAACTTCCTTGACAGGCCGATGAGCCCCCTACTGTCTCAACCCTCCCCCCCAACCTCCACCCGCATCGCATCTGTCCGTCTGCCCGTCCCTCCGTGCGTGCGTGCGTGGGTGGGCAAGTGCTCGGTTTGCGGAGCGGCGGCACGGTGGTTAGCGCACTGAGCCGGCGTGTTTTTTGGCGACTGCTCTTCTGCAAAATGAGAAGTAGTTTGATTGAATTACAGTTGGATCCCACGCGTGGACTTAGAGATTCACTCCCGCTCACGGCCAACATCAGTGGCAAGTGAAATCCGAACCTCTCCCGTCCCTCCCCCAGGCTGACTCAGCCTCAAACGAGCACCCAGTACGGTTTGTAAACATCAACGCAGGGTCTGGCCTTAACAGGTGCTCGCTGACGGCACTGGTCCCAGCGGTCTGCTTAGTCGGCGACACGGGGGGCGGTCTGCTCAGACTGTGCGTGTGCGTGGTTGGTAAACGGCACAGCTTGCGAGTGTTCACCCCTCCGACAAAAACCACGACCTTAACCCTCCCCTTCATGGCTGCTTTCAATTTCGCCGGCGCCCGTCTCTGCCGTGAACCACCGCCGGGGGAACCTTTGCCCGGAGCCGGCGCGACGCGGGCGGCGGTCCCGGCATCGTCGCCGGGAACCCCCCGGGAGGAGACGCCGGACCCTGCCGGGCCGGCACGGTTAACCGTGCCCGCCCGGAGGCCCGGGCTGTGTTGGCGCTACCTCCACCGCCGCCGGGTGAACGGTTAAACAAACATTTTGGCGTAATAATTAAACCCTTGGAGAGAGAGGGAAAGGTTGTGAGGCGTGCGGGTGGGCGGGGGGCGGGGGTGGGGGGTGGGTGCGGGGGTGGGGGGGTAGGGGGGTGGGAGCGGGGGGGGTGGGGAGGTGGGTGCGAGGAGCGGCGGTGCCGTCACCGCGTGTCTGACCGCGCCGGTCGTGTTCGCCGTTTGCAGCCGCCCTAATTATTTTCATCGCCGCCGTCCCCGCTTGATCGTTCCCACGGTGCATAAATAAATCATCCCCTACGCCGCGCGCCCGTAATTGTTGATCTTCCACGAGACATGATGGCATTCTGCTGCAAAGCTTCACACCCCGCCCCCCCTCCCCCCCCGCCGTGACCCCCTCCCCCCCGCCGTCTCCGCCACCCATGGCCCTCGCTCCTCCTCCTCCGTGCGGGAGGCGAGCAAACGTCGTGGAGCAGCGGCACGTGGATCCCCCGCTGTGTAGATGGTGACGCGGAATGGAGCGGCCCCACGCCCACCCCACGCCCCCCACGCCCCCCTCTAGGCGCCCCTTGCTGCCAGGCAGGATAAAAGATGCTGCCCAAGCTGCTGCATCGGTACTCTTCCACAGGGAACGCTCCGGGGGATTTAAAATGTCGCGGAGTTCACGCGAGGATGGGTGGATAACACCTAACTCCAAGTCTGAACTTTATCCTAACTAGTGACCCCTAACCCCACAGACTTGCACCGTGTTCAACGAGACGACGCTCATTTGCCGTGCCCCGGGCATCGAGTTCAACAGCCCTGGTCCCCTGCCAGCGGAGACCGGTGATGGAAGCTCGTCGTCATCGTCGTCAGCATCGTCGTCTTCGTCGGCTGCGTCGCTACCCATGCTGGCGCCCGTGCGCCCCGACGAGCTGGGGTTCATCTTCGACGACGTGCGCTCGCTGCTCATCTTCAACGCTTCCGAGTTCTACTACCACGCCAGCCCCACCTTCGAACCGCTGGGTCACGACCCCCTGGACATCAAGCCCGGCTCGCCCATCATCCTCAAGGTGAGCGCGACACCTCCGCCGTCTCACGGGCGCCGCCCGCGGGGGGACATGGCAAGTGCCGTGCGGGATCTCCGTGGAGTCATTGGCGGTGCAGTTTTTTGGGATTTGGCAAATTTGGACGGGGACGCCGGTGGCACACGATGGCCAACTCTTGCGGTGGCGTCACGAGATCTTTAACGTCCGCAGTACACACCACGGCATTAACCAGGGTGGCCTGCCGCGTTCAAACCGCGAGCCTCTGCGACGAGCGGCGAACGCGCTGCCGCCGGGCCACCGCGTCACCAGCCCAATGCACGTGCGTGGATGCGTACACGCACGTGCGTGCGTGTTTGTGTTGTTTCACATGTGTGTTTTGTTTTACGTGTGCGCGTGCGTGCTGCCATCGCGCGCTCAGGGCCGGAACTTGATGCCGGGCCCAGCCGGGGGGCGGCTGAACTACACGGTGCTCATGGGGGACGCGGCATGCGCCGTCACCGTGTCCGACACCCAGCTACTGTGCGAGTGCCCGGCCCTGTCGGGCCACCACATGTTGACTGTGAGGGCCCACCACTATTACCAATGCCACCACCAATACCACCACCAATACCACCACCAATACCACCACCAATACCACCACCAATACCACCACCAATACCGATACCACCACATGTTGACTGTGAGGGCTCACCACTGCCACCACTATTACCAATACCACCACCACCACTACCGATACCACCACCACTACCACCACCACCACTACCGATACCACCACTACTACCGATTTCACCACCACTACCGATACCACCACCAATACCACCACCACGACCGATACCACCACCACCAACAGCACCATCACCACTACCGATACCGCCACAACTACCTCCACCACTACCACCACCGACACCACCACCACCACTACCGATACCACCACGTCCACCACCACCACCACTACTGATACCACCACCTCCATCACTATCACCGACACCGTCACCACCACCACCCGACACCTCCACCACCACCATCATCACCACACAAAAACTCACGCACGGCTGCCTGCCCACTGACTCGCACGAACCTCATCGTACTCATTCGCCGTGACCCGTGGGACAGGTGCGCGTGGGCTCGCTGGAGCAGGCGGTGGGGCGCGTGGGGCTGGTGCACGACAGCCTGCTCACGCTGCCTGCCATCGTGGGGCTGGCGGCGGGCGGCGGGCTGCTGCTGCTGGTCGTGGTGGGCGTGCTCGTGGCGTACAAGCGCAAGTCGCGCGAGAGCGACCTCACGCTCAAGCGCCTGCAGCTGCAGATGGACAACCTGGAGTCGCGCGTGGCGCTCGAGTGCAAGGAGGGTGAGCGACCGCCCGGCACCGCGCGGCGGCGGCTCGTCTCTCGCGCAAATATCGCCTCGATTTTTACTCCCATTGCCTAGTGGCGATGACAGTCGTCGTCGTGCCGGTTGTCAAACTCCAGCCGTTGCTGTTGTTGACGCGGCGGTTGCGGCCGTGGTTGCTGTTTGCGGCGGTGGCGGTGCAGCGTTTGCGGAGCTGCAGACCGACATCAACGAGCTGACGAGTGACGTGGACGGCGCGGGGATCCCCTTCCTGGACTACCGCACGTACGCGCTGCGCGTGCTCTTCCCCGGCATCGACAACCACCCAGTGCTCACCGTGCTCGAGGTGCCGGCACGGCCCCCACAGCCACCCCATACCCACATCCACCCCGCACCCACCGCACACCCACCGCACACCCACCCCGCACCCACCACGCACCCACCACGCACCCACCCCACACCCACCCCACACCGCACCCACCCCGCACCCACCACGCACCCACCTCACACCCACCTCACACCCACCCCACACCCACCCCACCACACACCCCACACCCACCACACACCCACCCCACACCCACCCCACACTCAAGAACAGCTGTGCATCACGGCTGTTCTTGGTGTCGTGGTGTAGCGGTTAGCACGCCACAAACCCTGCGACCCGAGTTCCATTCCCACTCACGGACACCAGTGGACTACCCTAGGTCGACGAGTACCTAGTGCGGTGTCTCCCCACCGGGGAGACAAAGACGGCCGGGCGTGGTGTCGGCCTCACCACACCCACGTGTGCCGTTCCGGCCTCCGCAGCCGCTCGTCATCAGCGCTCACCCCAGCGGTCTGCGTGGGCTACGCGACGGCGGGATCTGCGCTCGTCCGTGCGTTCACACCGCCACCCTCACCCGCGCGTGTGTCCCCAGGTGCCCGGCAATCGGCACGAGTGCGTGGAGAAGGGGCTGCGGCACTTCGGCACGCTGCTGGGCAGCAAGGTGTTCCTGCTGGCGTTCGTGCGCACGCTTGAGTCTCAGCGCGCATTCTCGATGCGCGATCGCGGCAACGTGGCGTCGCTCGTCGCCACGGCGTTGCAAGGCAAGATGGAGTACGCGACCGACGTGCTCAAGCAGCTACTCTCCGACCTCATCACACGCAACATCGAGAGCCGCAACCACCCCAAGCTGCTTCTGCGAAGGTGACTCGCGTTCCCCTCCTGCACCGCGTTCAAACCACCACACTGCAGGTCACCACAGCACACTCACCCACTAACGCCACTCGCCCACCAACCCTCTTACTCACCCACTCACTCACCCACTTACACACTCACTCACCCACTCACCCACTCATTCACCCACCCACTTACACACTCACCCCCTCATCCACTTACACACTCACTCACCCACTCACCCACTCACCCACCTACCCACTCATTTACCCGCCCACCGACTCACCACACTGCAGGGCACAACACTTTCTGCTTCTTCCCTCGCACCATTCCACTCTGGAATTCTTTTCCCCAGTCATCGTCATCTCTTTTCACAAAGCCGCGTCGCTCCGTTTCCCCGGTCGCTCCGTCTCCCCCGTCGCTCCGTCTCTCCCGTCGCTCCGTCTCCCCCGTCGCTCCGTCTCTCCCGTCGCTCCGTCTCTCCCGTCGCTCCGTCTCCCCCGTCGCTCCGTCTCCCCCGTCGCTCCGTCTCTCCCGTCGCTCCGTCTCTCCCGTCGCTCCGTCTCTCCCGTCGCTCCGTCTCTCCCGTCGCTCCGTCTCCCCCGTCGCTCCGTCTCCCCCGTCGCTCCGTCTCCCCCGTCGCTCCGTCTCCCCCGTCGCTCCGTCTCCCCCGTCGCTCCGTCTCCCCCGTCGCTCCGTCTCTCCCGTCGCTCCGTCTCCCCCGTCGCTCCGTCTCCTCCGTCGCTCCGTCTCCCCCCGTCGCTCCGTTTCCCCCCGTCGCTCCGTCTCCCTGCGGCAGATTGTGCTCGCTCGTGCTGGGTCTCACCGGGCAGCAGGGTATCAATTACGCCAGATGGGGCATCGCCCCCTTCGAGGAGCGGAGGGTGGGGGGGGGGGCATGGCAGGGGTGGGATGTGGGGGGGTCAGGGAGGATCGTGGGGGGCACGTCTCCACCCACGCGGCACGGGAGCGAGCGCCTCTCGTTAATGACCGAGGGTTTTAGTTGTGCGCAGACTTCGCGATGGAAACGCCTCGCGCGGGAACAAGAGCGTGAGGGTCCACCAGGGGAAAGCTTCATCCAGCAGTTGATTGAACATGGCTAACGATGATGATCATCCCGGGCTGCCCTTCATCTATGGGTGGATTGTGCAATTCACGACAACGATAGGGGGGAGTCGTTCATCCAGCAGTGGATGGAACATGGCTAACAATGCGGCTGATCGGTGCCGTGAAGGCTGGGGGTGAGGGGCTAACGAGGCCACCGTGGATCCCGTACACAGCGGTCACGGGGTTACTAGTTGTGGGGTGCAGTGGAGTGGTGGGGGGCAGAGAGCACGCATCATTATTGTTTTTATATTTCAATTAATTAAAAAAACCCATTTCTCCCGCCCCCACGTGCCTACACAAGCAATTACCGCAATCCGTGATTAGCGGCGTGGCGCTCGGCTCGCCGCGTGGTTCTCTGATTAATGGCTGCCGCCGCTCGCAGCTTTCCATTAAATATTCATTTGCCCATCAGCGGCGCTCGTTCGGCCGCCGTCCTTGTTGCTGCGCTGCTGCCCGCCGGCCGTGGCCTGGCTGCCCCCTTCCGCGCGCCCCGGCCATCCGCCACCGGCGCCTTCCCAGTGGCCTCTTTGCACGACGGCGGCTCGCGGGAACACAGAAAACAAAGTAATTCTTATCAGGGGGAGGAGGGCTGTGGTGTTTTTAGTGCAGCCTGCACGCTCAGCGCCGCTCTGTCTCTCCGGCCTCTCTCAACGCGGCGTCATTGACGGCCGTGTTGAGGTTTTCAACAACAAATGGCGCGGTTGTTGAACGCTCGCGCTGTGTCGTCATTCATTTTGTTTGGCTGCGTTGGGTGGTGGAGGGTCTTAATGACACAAATTGGGCCAGGTCACCACCTGCAGGTGAGACGGTGCAGGTGAGACGGTGCAGGTGAGACGGTGCAGCAGCACAAATCAGTGATGAACTCGAGTCACGACCCCAAATAGGTAAGGGGGGATGTGGGGGTGGGGGCTCAGCCTGAACCCCGAGACGCCACCCAGGTCGTCGGTGCATGCACGTGCGTGTGTGTGTACGTGTGTGTATACGTGCATGTGTGTACGTATGTGTGCGCACGTGTGTGTACATGTGTGTGCACGTGCGTGTGTGTGTGTACATGTGTGTGCACGTGCGTGTGTGTACATGTGTGTGTGTACGTGTGTACGTGTGTGTACGTGTGTGTACGTGTGTGTGCACGTGCGTGTGTGTGTGTACGTGTGTGTGTGTGCGCGCATGTTTGTACGTGTGTGTGCGCGCGCATGTGTGTGTGCGTGTGTGTGTGTTTGAGTGTGTTTGAGTGTGTTTGCGGAGCGGTAGGGTAGCAGTTAGCGCACTGTGCTACGAACCTGGCGCCCCGGGTACAATTCTCGCTCACGGCCAACACCAGTGACGATTATCTGAACTGGTTCTGGGCCTCCCCTAGGTCGACTCAGCCTCAAATTATGTGTAAACATCACCACGAGGGAGACAAAGACGGCCGCGCGAGGTCTTGGCCACCCATCCGCTCGTGTGCCGTGCCGGCCTTGATAGTAACTTGCCCCTACAGTCTGTTACAGGCTATACGGGAGATCTTTGTGCGTGAGATAAGAGGTGCTCGTCACGTGTGAGGGTGGGGAGTGGATTGGGGGGAGTGATGAAGGGGGCCACCCACTCGGCTCAAATCGCGGCACGTGTGGGCCGGCCCTCGCCGCTGCTCATTACCCACAATCCTCTTCTCTTGATTGGCTCAATTTGTAAATCGCAGCGGGTTTTGTTGAAACCCATCATCTCGGCCGGGATTACCATCATGCTGCCCCTGTGGGGAGCGGCGGCGCAGGGGTTAGCGCGCTGTGCGATGAACCCTCCGTCACCGACTTACACACTGACCGGCGTGGTGGAGTGTGGCACAACGACCCCGCACGGCGTGGGGAAGCCTTCCCCCAGCAGTTGATTGATGAAGGCCCGTGAATAATAATGGTCACATTGTGATTTTCTTCTCAATTTAGCATTTGCAATGCACCACCATCATCCTAAGCAGCAGCCTCCATCTATCTATTACTGGATGAAGGCAATTCGATTATTCTAAATCCAAATAACTAAATTCTGTATTTAAATAAAAAGCGAATTAAACAAGGTTTAGAGGAGATTTTCGGCCTTCCTCAGAGGGAGCTGCTCTCTGCTGCACAGAGCCGTGCCCTGTTCGGGGGCCACAGCCGGCTGGCTTGATTCGATTTCGGCATGGACACAGCGAGTCCGTGCCAAGCCACGCATCACCGAGCACTCCGTTAACCAGGGCGGCCGTGCCAGCCGTGGGAATTCATTCGCCATGCCCCCGGCAAAACCGCCGATTTTCCGCTTCTCATTGGCAGGAGCCGGACACGGGTTTAGTGACTTATCTCTTTCTTCAATCTTCTCTCTCACTCTCTCTCTCTCTCTTTCCATCTCTCACTCTCTCTCACTCACTCTCTATCTCTCTCTCTCTCACTCGCAGTCTCTCTCTGTCTCCCGCTGTCCCTCGCCCGCGCACTCCCTGCCAATGATATTTCCCTGCCAGTCGTGCTTGACAGTGGCCTAACGGGCCGTGGTGGTGGCTTTGTTTCTTGCAGCTCGATGTAAATATTGGTATGGGTTAGATTAAACAAATTTGTGTTTACTGTATTAATCAAAATCATGGTCATCATCATCGTTAGCAGCAGCAGCCACGGTCAATCCACTGCTGCGTGAGGGCTCCCCAAGCCGTCACCACCTCTAATGGTTCTGCCTCTACACAAACCGATTGCATCGCTCCATCTCCGCAGCGGCACGATCACGGAGCGCCATGCGCGTCGTTGACGATCGTTGCCCTTGACAGGCGTCGTTTCGGGAGCGACTCTGCGTGAGAGTCAGCTGCTGTTCACTCGAAGTCGACGACCTCGATGGAGCTCCATCGAGTCAATGACCTCCCCACCTTTGTCTCACCTGCTGGCCCTGTCTCTCTCTGTCGCTTCCGCAGGACCGAGTCTGTCGCTGAGAAGATGCTCACCAATTGGTTCACGTTCTTACTGCACAAGTACCTGAAGGTCAGTCCTCAGCATCTTGGACGGGGCGTGTGGGGAGGTGAGCGAGCGAGCGAGTGTGTGGAGTTTGTATGTTCTCTCTTTCTGCCCCTGTTCTGCGTGGGTTTGCTCCGGTTTCCTCCCACAGCTAAACCCCACACTCACAGTGGAACTGGCATGGCCCAAAAATCCCAATGCTGAAAAAACAATGAACCTGCAAATCACTGAATTTGGACCAGCAGCATACCCCCCCACCCTCTACTGCGAAAACTTGGCAGGACCCTCCAGAAAACGAGTCTCAGCGAGGCGAGGCGTTCCCGAATGAGCAGAATCATCGCCACAACGATGATGGTGCCCCCCGTGACCCGGCGACCCCTCCCCCACCGTCCTCGTGCATTGCCTGCACCAATCACGCAGGGGTCACGCACATCGTGCCGCCATCGTCACGCGGGAACAACAGGGAAAACAAGCGTTTCCGAGTAACCACGTACGCAGTCGCGACAGCGGCAATAACACAGCAATAACGATACCAGCAGTAACAATATGCAAATTGGTGATTAGTGATCGTAGTGAGGGGGCTGGTGGTAGTCATGGCAGCAGCAGCAGTAATGCCACCGGCTGGCTGAGTAATCAGCTGGACCTGAGGCAGGCAAACCGGCCATGCTTAACGAACGCGACATTCAATTGCATGGGGAGGGGGTGGTGTTGGGAAGGAAGGGTCGTGACCACAATTGCTCACGAGCTATCTCCACCATCAACAATGTCCTCGCTCGCTCGTTCAGCCATCCACCCACTCAGCCACTCAGCCACCCACCCACTCAGCCACCCACCCACTCAGCCACCCACCCACTCAGCCATCCACCCACTCAGCCATCCACCCACTCAGCCATTCAGCCACTCAGCCACCCATCCACTCAGCCACCCACCCACTCAGCCATCTACTCAATTCAGCCATCCACCAACTCAGCCATCCACCCACTCAGCCACTCAGCCATTCAGCCACTCAGCCACTCAGCCACCCACCCACCCACTCAGCCATCCACCCACTCAGCCAACCACCCACTCAGCCACTCAGCCACTCAGCCACCCACCCACTCAGCCATCCACCCACTCAGCCATCCACCCACTCAGACAATCAGCCACCCACCCACTCAGCCATCCACCCACTCAGCCACTCAGCCATCCACCCACTCAGCCATCCACCCACTCACCCACTCAGCCACCCACCCACTCAGCCAATCAGCCACTCAGCCACCCACTCATACATCCACCCACTCAGCCATCCACCCACTCAGCCACTCAGCCATCCACCCACTCAGCCATCCACCCACTCACCCACTCAGCCACCCACCCACTCAGCCACTCAGCCACCCACTCATACATCCACCCACTCAGCCATCCACCCACTCAGCCACTCAGTCATCCACCCACTCAGCCATCCACCCACTCAGCCATCCACCCGCCTGCTTGCCTCACTTGTCCAAGGATGTTTTTGCTTTCCCTTTGTCCCATTCACTCGGTCCTCTACTTGCTCATCCACCAACTCAGGCACTCACCCTTCTCGCTCGTCCACACGCCCGCTTCTCGCTCATCCACCAGCCAGCTATTTTGTCCATTTGCTCGCTCGCCCACGACGCGGCTCGTCCACTGACTCGTACGCAAGCCCACTTTGCTCACCCATCCGCTCGCTCCTTTTCACCATCAGCTTTCTCCACCGTGTCCCCTAATCGGTTGTTCTCTTGTCCACCAGCTCCACTCTCTAATTCACCCACTTTCCACCTTGTCCACCCTCTCACCCCCGTGTTCATCTGTTCGCTTCTCCACTATCTCTCTCGCCCAAACTGCTCGCAGATTCATTCATCCGACCACTCGCTCCCTCATCCACCCTCGCACCCCATTGTTCGCCCGCTCACTCACCGTCTGCTCAAGGAATGCAGGCAAGGGAGGGGGGCGAGTGAGTGAGTGAGATCCCAGTGAGGGGTTCTGCACCGCTGCGATCAAAAGATGTTTTGTGGCAATTATCATCCAGCCAAACAATGAGCCCATTTAAAAAAAACGAATCGGGGTTGATAGCGCGAGGCTGCACCCTTCATGTGGCCATTAAAGGCCTTTCATTGCCTCTCACGCCGTCTCCCTTTGCAAGTAATCTCATTTTCACATCTCCCACCGCATCTCCGTAATGCTGCCCTGCGCCTTTCTCCCTCCCGTCCGCCGCCGCCGCCGCTCCCGCGTCATTGCATACCTAAGTAATTGCTTCCTCGCCGCCCGATCCGCCGTATAAATCATCCTATTCATTCCGCCGCGTTTGCCCCGTTATTTATTTTTTCTCTCTGCTCACCCGTCCGGCCGCCCGGGCCGTTTATCACCGGCGGAGAGAGAGGAGACGCGCCGGAGTGGGACGCCGCGACGTAGCAAGTAATCGGATCCTTTACCGATTACTCTGAGCCTCTACCGATTACACTACAATTACCCTTCCGATTACTCTGAACATTACTCTGCAAATTACTTTAGTGATTACTTTAACGATTACTCTGAGATTACTCTTCCGATTACTTTATCGATTAGAGAACCATAGTCATGCATATACACTTACATACTTGCTTAGAAACCGTTCAACGGGATAATAATAATATGTCCTCGGAGGAGGCGCGGTTTGGTTTGGAATGGCTTTGGCTGAAGTCCAGCCGTGAGAATCGGGCCGCCTGGGTTGGGTACCTTGTGATGAATACATAATTGTCGTACTGGCCGCTGATCTGAGCCGTGGCTGGCAATTGAACTCGGGTTGCTGCGACCGTAGCGCAGTGCGCTAACTGCCGCTCCACCGTTCTTCAAGCACACAACAGACAAAAGATCCCCAGAATAGCCTCTCAAGGCCTCGTTTGGGGCAAGTGCTGCTCGCGAGCCCCGACAAAAGTTGGCACGCCACACGGGGGAACAGGTGACCAGCACCACGCCCGGCTGCCTTGGTCTTCCCAGTGTTGAGTAAACAATGAAGCAGGTACTCATTTAATGCTGAGTCGATGTAGGGTAGACCCAGGACCAATTCATATATTTGCCACCGTTATTGGACTTGAGCGGCAATCAAACTCGGGTCGCCGGGTTTGCAGCGCAGTGCGCTAACCACTGCACCACTACTCCCCACACACACACGTACACACGTGCATGTACACACAAATACACGATGATGATTTAAAAGATAATTTCTCCAAGTGCCTCAGTTGCAAAGCACAGCTGAGGAGTCGTCACCATTAGCAATGTCACATTAATATTGTACTCCATTCAATGTCTTCTTTACATGTTCCAGTGCTTTGAGATAATGTAGTTTTAACATTACATTACATTTAAATATGATTTCATTCATGACTTCTCCTAAATTGCATATGTCGGAGACAAAAACTAATCCCAGTAATTCACTACCTCAAGCTTAATAAGTAACAATTAAAATGTTGTATTTTATTAATTTGAGCCCAAGAAATATCTTGTCTCGGCGGTGGAGCAGAGGCGCAGTGGTTAGCGCACTGCGCTACGAACCCGGCCTCCTGGGTTCGATTCCCACTCACGGGTCAACACCAGTGACGATTATCTGAACTGTTCCTGGTCCTCCCCTAAGTAGACTCAGCCTCAAATGTGTGGTACTCGCTAACAGCACTTTCCCCAACGGTCTGTTAAGGCTCTATGGGGGATCTTTGTCTTTATGTTTGTGTGAGTCAGTGAACATGACAAGGTTTCATATGGGGACTTTGTGTGTTCACAATTCGTATCCCACCATCCCACCACGACCCGGGCTCAACTGCGTGGATGTGCATGCGTGGATGTGCGTCCGTGCGTGCGTGGATGTGCGTGGATGTGCGTGCGTGGATGTGTGTGCGTGCGTGGATATGCGTGCGTGGATGTGCGTCCGTGCGTGCGTGGATGTGCATGGATGTGCGTGCGTGGATGTGTGTACGTGTGTGGATGTGCGTGCGTACATTGTTCGGCAACCGAGATGACACGGCAGCCCCTGCCGTGCGTCGTCGCGTGACGGGGGCCGCAGGGCCGCGTGGCGTAACGAGAGGGGGCGGACGAACAATGTTCAGCGATCGTTCCTCGCCCGCGTAAGCATGTGCGTGTGGTGGGCGCGGCTCTCATCGTGCGGGCGGTCAAGCGTGCGTGTCCGTGTTCATACTCTTGTGTGCGCGAGCGTGATGACCACTCCTGTGTCCGCCCGTCTGCATCCACCAGAGTGGCTGCTTGTCCACGTGCATATCTGTGTAGGTGTGTATGTGTGTATGAGTGTATGTATGTGTATGCATGGTTGTGTATGTGTGTATGCATGTGTGTGTATGTGTGTGTATGTGTGTATGTATGCGTGTGTATGTAAGTATGTATGTGTGTGTGTATGCGTGTGCAAGTGTGCGTGTGTATGTATAGTGCAGCAGCAAGCGCACTGCTTAATGAACCTGGTGACCCGAGTTGGATCCACGTTCATGGCCAACACCAGTGATTATTATCTTAACTGATCCTGGGCCTCCCCTAGGTCGACTCAGCCTGAAACGAGTACCTCGTGTGGTGTGTAAACATCCACATCGGGGAGACAAAGGCGGCCAGGCGTGGTGCTGGTCACTCACCACTTAGTGTGCCGTGTCCGACTTTCACAGGTGCTACTCGCTAACAGCACTTGCCCCAACAGTCTGTTAAGGCTATACGAGGACCTTCGTCTTTGTGCATGCTTGTGCAGGAGTGCGCCGGCGAGCCCCTCTTCATGCTCTACTGCGCCATCAAGCAGCAGATGGAGAAGGGGCCGATCGACGCCATCACGGGCGAGGCGCGCTACTCGCTCAGCGAGGACAAGCTCATCCGCCAGCAGATTGACTACCGCACCCTCGTGAGTCCAACTCGACTCAGTCGTGGCCGAGATGATGGTGGTGGCGACGATGATGGCGACGATGGCGGTGGTCGCCGTGGTAATGCAGTAGGTAGAGATAGTGATGCTGGTAGTGGGCTGCCCTACGAACCCGGCGACCTGAATTCGGTAAACACCAGTAAACCAGTTTTGGGCCTCCCCAAGGTTGACTCAGCCCCAATGAATAGCTAGTGTGGTGTGTAAACACGTTGCAATGGTGGTAATAATGATGGTGATGGTGGTGTTGGTAACGATGATAGCAGATGACGACCACGATGATGACGTTGATAACATTGACGTTGATGATAATTACAAAGCAAAATTTTCCGGTGGTGATAAGTGTGTTGATGATGGTAGAGGTTGTAAAAATTATGGTTTTGAAATTCATGATGTTTCTGATGATTATGATGCTGATAATGTCGCCGGTGGTGGTGACGACGGCATTAGTCATCCTGATATTGAGAGCAATGCCGTCGGCGGCAGTGTTGTTGACGACGGTGATCGTGCACCCGTCACGACGACGGCTGCGCACGCGCTCCCTCTTGCCCGGCCGACAGACGCTGAACTGCGTGACCCCGGAGAGCGAGAAGAACGTGGAGGTGAGCGTCAAGGTCCTCGACTGCGACACCATCACGCAGGTCAAGGAGAAGCTGCTCGACGCCGTCCACAAGAACGTGCCCTACTCCCAGCGGCCCAAGGCCATCGACCGCGACCTCGGTGAGGCCCCGGCCGTCTCGTCCGGGAACTGCGCGCATCGCGTGGAGGAGCTGGCCAGCAGATGATGGGGAGAAGTTAACGTAGCGGTGGATAGATCACGGCTCGCGATGACGACGATGACGATGACGGTGGTGGCGTGCGGTGGTGGCGTGTGGTGAGCAGAGTGGCGACAGGGCCGCATGGGGCGCGTGATCCTGCAGGACGAGGACGTCACCACCAAGATTGAGAACGACTGGAAGCAGCTCAACACGCTGGCGCACTACCAGGTGACACTCACACACCACGTGGTGAGACACACCACGTGGTGTGAGAGACACACCACGTGGTGTGAGACACACACCACGTGGTGAGACACACACCACGTGGTGAGACTCACACTACGTGGTGACACTCACACCCCACGTGGTGACACTCACACCCCACGTGGTTAGACTCACACCACGTGGTGAGACTCACACCACGTGGTGAGACTCACACCATGTGGAGAGACTCACACAGAGTCATAGACCCACACATGGAGATGTTGGCTAAGCTGAACTGGGACGATCTTGGGGGAAGTGCCAAGTGTAGTGGCTCCCGCGAGCGTGGGTCGAGCGTGGGTCCAGTGTGGGTCGAGCGTGGGACGAGCGTTGGTCGAGCGGGCGGTGCGTGCGCTGTTGCCGTAGGTGGCCGATGCATCCACGGTGGCGCTGGTGCCCAAGCAGACGGCATCCTACAACGCCGCCAACTCGCTGCTCTCGCGCTCCGTCAACAAGTATGGTGAGCATCAGCCAGGGTACCGGCCAGGGCACCAGCCAAGGTACCGGCCAGGGTCCCGGCGACCACCAGCGAGCAGAGTGCCGGCGCTACGTCCGTGCGCCGTGCGCTGGGTGCGTGGGGACCAGAAAGAGGCTCCGAGCACCTCGTTTGGGTGCGCCGAGCACACGGTGGTTTGTTTGGCAGCGTTGGTTTTAGTGTTGTTGGTGTTGGTGGTAGTGTTGGTGGTAGTGTTGGTGGTTGTATTGGTGGTTGTATTGGTGGTGGTTGTATTGGTGGTTGTATTGGTGGTGGTAGTGGTGGTTGTATTGGTGGTGGTAGTGTTGGTGGTGGTAGTGTCGGTGGTGTATTGGTGGTTGTATTGGTGGTGGTAGTGTTGGTGGTGGTAGTGTCGGTGGTGTATTGGTGGTAGTGTTGGGGGTGGTAGTGTTGGTGGTGTATTGGTGGTAGTGTTGGTGGTGGTAGTGTTGGTGGTGGCAGTGTTGGTGGTGGTAGTGTTGGTGGTGGTGGTGGTGTATTGGTGGTAGTGTTGGTGGTGGTAGTGTTGGTGGTGGTAGTATTGGTTGTGGTAGTGTTGGTGGTGGTAGTGTTGGTGGTGTTTTCTCACCGGGCTGGCGCTGATTGTAATGGCAGGGAAAACAAAACCACCGAGCCGGGAGCAGCAAGCGGAGGCCACGCCGAGGCGGCGGTGGTGGCGACGTGGGGTGCCACGGGGGGTGCTACGCGGGGTTACCACGTGGGGGGGGGGGGGTGCCCTTTGTTATTTTTGGGGTGTTTCGCTTTTACATTTATTTATATTTCCCCCGGTTCACCGTCACGGTCTCGTGACACAAGGTGAGATAAATTGCCGGCGATGTGGGAACGCCGGGCCCGGCCTGCCACTCTCGCCGCTCCCCCGGCTTCAATAAACAGGAAACCTCCCTCCCTCCCTCCTTGGCTGAGCCGTGCCGCTACACCGTGGCGGCTCCCTGCTGGCGGCCCCTCATTACCCCGTGTGGCACGGCATGCGCCGCGCCTTTTAATTAACGGGGAAATTGCCCGCTCTTCGTGTGCCGGCGCCGACGCTACCTCTGAAGTGCGCGGAAATTTAATATCAATTTACGCCGCCGGTTCTTTCCGGGTGTTACGTTCCAATTAGGAGTTAATTTCCACGCCCGCTTCTTACGCGGGCGTGGAATTGGCACGCTCGCTCGCCACCGGTCGTGGTCGTTCGCTGCCTCTGCCCGCCCGGCGCGACGCGCGACGTGCCGGCGGCGCGGTGACACGCGGTCCTGCCGTGCCAACGCCGTGACTGCGTGGTGCCCGCGTGGTGACCGCGTGGTGACTCGTGGTGACTGCGTGGTGACTCGTGGTGACTCGTGGTGACTGCGTGGTGACTCGTGGTGCCCGCGTGGTGACCGCGTGGTGACTCGTGGTGACTGCGTGGTGACTCGTGGTGACTGCGTGGTGACTCGTGGTGACTGCGTGGTGACTGCGTGGTGACTCGTGGTGCCCGCGTGGTGACCGCGTGGTGACTCGTGGTGACTGCGTGGTGACTCGTGGTGACTCGTGGTGACTGCGTGGTGACTGCGTGGTGACTGCGTGGTGACTCGTGGTGACTGCGTGGTGCCCGCGGCCAATTCTTGGCACCGCCGCGGCCGAGCCGGGACAACTCGCTCAGCTCTCGGTGCCTTCGCCTTGCCTAGGCTGGTGCAAGGCTCAAGGCTTTCCTCTTCTCCTCTGCTTTCACTGACGGCCTCTCTCACAGAGACTCACAAAGAAACCCGTAGACTCACACAGAGACCCATAGACTCACACATAAACCCGTAGACTCATGCAGAGACCCATAGACTCACACAGAAACCCATAGATTCACACAGAGACCCACAGACTCACACAGAGACCGATAGACTCACACATAAACCCCTAGACTCATGCAGAGACCCATAGACTCACACAGAAACCCGTAGACTCGCGCAGAGACCCATAGACTCACACAGAAACCCGTAGACTCACACAGAGACCCATAGACTCACACAGAAACCCGTAGACTCACAGAGAAACCCATAGACTCACACAGAAACCCGTAGACTCACACAGAGACCGATCGACTCACACAGAAACCCATAGACTCACACAGAGACCCATAGACTCACATAGAGACCCATAGACTCACACAGAGACCCATAGACTCACACAGAAACCCGTAGGCTTACACAGAGACCCATAGACTCACACAGAATCCCGTAGACTTACACAGAGACCCATAGACTCACACAGAAACCCGTAGACTCACACAGAGACCGATAGACTCACACATAAACCCCTAGACTCATGCAGAGAGCCATAGACTCACACAGAAACCCGTAGACTCACACAGAAACCCGTAGACTCACGCAGAGACCCATAGACTCACACAGAAACCCATAGACTCACACAGAGACTGATCGACTCACACAGAAACCCGTAGACTCACACAGAGACCGATCGACTCACACAGAAACCTGTAGACTCACACAGAGACCCGTAGACTCACACAGAGACTCATGAACTTCACACAGAGACCCATAGACTCACACAGAAACCCATAGACTCACACAGAAACCCGTAGACTCACACAGAGACCCATAGACTCACACAGAAACCCGTAGACCCACACAGAGACCAATAGACTCACACAGAAACGCCTAGACTCACGCAGAGACCCGTAGACTCACAAAGAGACTCATGAACTTCACACAGAGACTTATAGACTCACACAGAAACCCGTAGACTCACACAGAAACCCATAGACTCACACAGAGACCGATCGACTCACACAGAAACCTGTAGACTCACACAGAGACCCGTAGACTCACACAGAGACTCATGAACTTCACACAGAGACCCATAGACTCACACAGAGACCGATAGACTCACACAGAGACCCATAGACTCACACAGAAACCCGTAGACTCACACAGAGACCCATAGACTCACACAGAAACCCGTAGACCCACACAGAGACCAATAGACTCACACAGAAACGCCTAGACTCACGCAGAGACCCGTAGACTCACAAAGAGACTCATGAACTTCACACAGAGACTTATAGACTCACACAGAAACCCGTAGACTCACACAGAGACTAATCGACTCACACGGAGACTGATAGACTCACACAGAAACCCGTAGACTCACACAGAGACTGATCGACTCACTCAGAGACCCATAGACTCACACAGAAACCCGTAGACTCACACAGACCCATAGACTCACACAGAAACCTGTAGACTCACACAGAGACTTATAAGACTCACACAGAAACCCATAGACTCACACAGACACTGATAGACTCACACAGAGACCCATAGCAAGACGTATACTGGATGTGGCATGCCGTGCATAGGAATATTTTCCGCACCTGGTGAGGTGGCGCAGGGATCAGGGTGCTCGCCCGCCCGCTCACCGAGTCGCTCCGCCTACTCGCCCGCACGCCCTCCGGCTAAATCAGTTTCCCGCCCGATTGCCCGCTCGCCTGACCATTGATTGCGACCTCCGGTTCGGCGCTGGCTCCTCTGCGTCCCCACGCAGAGAGCATCATGAGGCACCCGGGCAGCCCGGACTCGCTACGCTCGCGCACACCCATGATCACTCCCGACCTGGAGAGTGGCACCAAGCTGTGGCACCTCGTGAAGAACCACGACCACGCCGACCAGAAGGAGGGCGACCGCGGCAACAAGATGGTGTCCGAGATCTACCTCACGCGGCTGCTCGCCACCAAGGTGAGGAAACGCACGCCGCCCCCCGCTCCCGCGGTCCCTCTCGCCTCGTCGCTCGCCAACGAGGTGGTCGGCCTCTATTGGCGGACCTCCGTGGGCCTCGCGGACCTCCGCGCTCCCAGACTCTCGACCTGCCGTCAGATGGCTCCGAGTCGAGGCGGCTGCAGAGTCCGTGTGACCGTCGTCACGATGCACGTGTTGGTCGGGACGGCGCGTCGCTCACGCTGGCGGTGTCGCCGTGTGCGGTGCCCGCGTTGCAGGGCACGCTGCAGAAGTTTGTGGACGACCTGTTCGAGACGATCTTCAGCACGGCGCACCGCGGCAGCGCCCTGCCCCTCGCCATCAAGTACATGTTCGACTTCCTGGACGAGCAGGCCGACCGGCACGCCATCCACGACCCAGCCGTACGCCACACCTGGAAGAGCAACTGGTGCGTCGTGCGTGCGTGCGTGTGTGTGTGTGTGCGTGTGTGTGTGCGTGTGTGTGTGCATGCAAGCGGGAGTGTACTGGTCAGCACGCTGCACTACGAACCTGGCGACCCGAGTTTAATTTCTGCTTAGGTCCAACACCAATGATGATTATTTGAACCGGTCCTAGGCCTCCCCTAGGTGGACTCAGCTGCAATCTGGTACCTGGTGGGATGAGTAAACATCGGCACTGGGGAGACAAAGGCGTACCGGCCAGCACTTGCCCCACCAGCTTATAAAATGCGTTGCTGTTGTACAAGCAACTCGTGGTTAGATTGGCTAAATGGGTTCACGTGGTCATCATGACAGACAATACTTAATTTCTCCTACTATCCCCCCCTCCTCCTCCTCATCTCCCCCTCCTCCTACTCTACCCGCCCACCCTCCTCTGCACAGCCTGCCGCTGCGCTTCTGGGTGAACGTGATCAAGAACCCGCAGTTCGTGTTCGACATCCACAAGACGAGCATCACGGACGCGTGCCTCTCCGTCGTGGCGCAGACCTTCATGGACTCGTGCTCCACCTCGGAGCACCGGCTGGGCAAGGACTCGCCCTCCAACAAGCTCCTCTACGCCAAGGACATCCCCAACTACAAGCACTGGGTGGAGAGGTGAGCGCCAGGGCGAGGGGATGGGAGAGCACGCGTGGAGCGCCATGCTACCAACCCGGCGACCCGAATTCGGTTTCCGCTCACGAACGATAATGGCGACAAATATTTGAACCGGTCCTGGGCATCCCCTAGGTCGACTCGGCCTTAAGTGAGTACCTGGTGTGATATGTAAACATCAGTAATGGGGAGATGCAGGCAGCCGGGCGTGATGCTGGCCACCCACCCCCTCGTGTGCCGTGGTCCACATTTGCCAAATTTTAACAAACGATGCTGCGGATGACTCTATTGGGATCGCGACCGCAGCAGCAGCGGCTGCCACCATCCCATGCTGGCTGAGCGGCCGCTGGCCCCGTTCCCTGCCCTAGCGAGCACAATGGACCCAACGGGTTCCTCTCCTTGATCACCTCGCTGACGTTTGCACGCGTGTCCTTGTGTTTGCGCGTGTGCGTCCACGGTGCGTGTGTGCACGTGTGTTTGTGTGCGCGTGCACGTGTGTGTCCACGGTGCGTGTGTGCACGTGTGCACGTGTTTCCATCTCTGCCGCAGGTACTACACGGACATCGGCAAGATGCCAGCGATCAGCGACCAGGACATGAACGCATACCTTGCCGAGCAGTCGCGCATGCACAGCAGCGACTTCAACACCATGAGTGCCCTTAACGAGCTCTACCTGTACGTCAGCAAGTACAAGGACGAGGTGGGGCTCGCCACGACGCCAACGCCGCACTCGAGCGCCTCTTCCTTCGCTGTTATGATGATGTTCGTTTCCCCAGGCAGGCCTCTAGGCTCTCGTTCAGGAGGGCCCTGCCAAGTGTTCGCAGTAAGGGGGTCGATGCTGCTGCTGCTGTGCGCTCCCGATTGGAAGAAACCCACTCAGAGCATGGGGAGAGCAAATACAGACTATCGGTGATCAGGCTGAGCACATCAACTCGCTCTGCTTGAGAACGCGGGTTACTCACGAGCAGCCTAGAATAGCAATGCCCGGCAATTGGATCATTCGTTATTGTCCCTTAGTGTACGTCCTCGATGGAGATGGAGCAATGTAATCAGCCCGTACGCAGAAGCTAGACGGATCTTTGCTTCGATCGATGGCTACGTCTTGGGGTGGCTCTTACCCAGCAGCGGATATATCACAGATGAATCGTAATGCGACAACGGATTAACGTAGCTCGGTTGCTCTCGGTCCCCCCCTGTACCCCCCGTACACAGATCCTGGCCGCACTGGACCAAGATGAGCAGGCCAAGCGGCACCGCCTGGCCTTCAAGCTGGACCAAGTGATCTCCTGCATGTCCGGGGACAGTTAGAGGTCACCGCACCGCCAGTGCCGCAACCACCACCACCACCGCCGCCGCCATCGTCGCCACCGCCGCCGTCATCGGCCGGGTGAAGTGTTGCTTATTTTAGTTCCTTATTTTTCCTCCATTTTTTTTTTAAACACCGCCGTCCGTCTGTCCGTCCAACCATCCGACTGACCGACCGAGAAGACGCGTGACGGTTTTGTGTTGCCGCACTCGGGCGACCGGACGTCCCGCTTTGCGACACGCCCGGCCACGCGGTTCCACGGTGGTCCGCGATGGAGCGCGGCGAAGCGCGGGGAAGCGACCGTCCACGCGCACCCGCGGGTCGGCCTCCCCGCTTCACTTTCCGGAGGAGCGGCTCCACCCGGGAGTCGACCCCGTGACCTCTACGCGGCATGGGGAAAAGGCCGTTCAGACCCCTGGGAGGGACGCGGGGAGGCGCGGTGACCTCTTCGCCCTGCGGGGGAGACTGACGGGAGAGCAGGAGAAGGCCCGGGGAGATCCGGGGGAGACCTGGCAAGGGGCTGAGAGTCGGCGTTAGTTGGAGAGATCGACCAGAGAAGCGGCCTGCTCTGCATCGCTCCGACACTGCTGCTCCCGCCGAGCCGGAGGAGGAGTGCAGCCTCGCGGCCCCCCTCCCACCACATGGATGGCGTTCTTCCATCCCGCCGCTTCCATCGTGCACACTCGACACCGACACGGAGCGCTCCGCTCGTGTCTTGCTTCGTCGCGTTTCCGCTGGATCTTCCGAATGTTCGTTAACCCCTTGTCACGCCCCCCGCGGAAGAGCCGACGAGTGACTTATGGGCGCCTGAACGCGGGCACCACTGACCGAGACTTGGTGAACCGTGGGTGTCGTTATCGCGCCCCCCTCCCCAAACTCGCCCCTCCCCCCCCAGCATGTCTTGCACAAAGCATCGATGCTGCGAACGATGATGCGCACGCGACCCATTTGACGGAGACGAAGATTGTTTGAACGGCTCGAGAGAAACGCAACGGCTTCGGATCTTCGCTGGGGTCGTTTTGTAATTTTATTTTTTAGAAAAATATCCCCCTTTTACGGAGGGGAAGAAAATGAGACAAAACGCACGCACGCACGCACATGCACGCACGCACGCACACACGCGCGTCAAAATTTCGGCCTCGCGTTCGCGTAGCGTCCGTCTGCAGGGGCGTCTCCGTGCTCCCCGGCGCTCCGGGCTCCGGGCCGTCTTGACCGCCAGTATTGAAGCGTCGCGTCTCCTTCTCCTGTTTACTCGAAACGACAAACTGTGGTTGTACAGCACAAAAAAGGAAGGGGCGAGCGAGACGGAGCGCCGCCCGTCCCCGTGGTCGCGCCCTCTTGGTGTTCGAGCGACCCCCACGCAGCGGCGAGCTTTTACCGCACCCAGTCGGTCCGTCGGCTACAAGTAAGGTCAAGGGTGGGGTGGGGGAGACAGGAATCCGCTGAGAATTTTGTTTTGGGTCTTTTCAACAAACGAAGTGAAAGCAGGAGTTTTACGATGCTGCTGTGTGCTCAACTCGCTCAGTCATATGTCCAGTGTCGCTCCAGTCTCTCGAACATTATATGGCTGCTGCTACTGCTGTAGCTGTAGCAGCTGTAGCTGCTGTAGCTGCTACTGCTGTAGCTGCTACAGCTGCTGCTCCTGCTGCTGTAGCTGCTGCTGTGGCTGCTGCTGCTGTAGCTGCTGCTGCTGTATAGCTGCTGTTGTAGCTGTAGCTACTGCTGTAGCTGCTGTAGCTGCTGATGCTGTAGCTGCTACTGCTGTAGCTGCTGCTGTAGCTGCTGTAGCTGCTGCTGTAGCTGCTACAGCTGCTGCTCCTGCTGCTGTAGCTGCTGCTGTAGCTGCTGCTGTGGCTGCTGCTGCTGTAGCTGCTGCTGCTGTTATAGCTGCTGTTGTAGCTGTAGCTACTGCTGTAGCTGCTGTAGCTGCTGCTGCTGTAGCTGCTACTGCTGTAGCTGCTGCTGTAGCTGCTGCTGTGGCTGCTGCTGCTGTAGCTGCTGCTGCTGTTATAGCTGCTGTTGTAGCTGTAGCTACTGCTGTAGCTGCTGTAGCTGCTACTGCTGTAGCTGCTACTGCTGTAGCTGCTGATGCTGTAGCTGCTGCTGTATCTGCTGATGCTGTAGCTGCTACTGCTGTAGCTGCTACTGCTGTAGCTGCTGATGCTGTAGCTGCTACTGCTGTAGCTGCTGCTGTGGCTGCTGCTGTGGCTGCTGCTGATCTGGGGCTGGCGTGCGTCAGAAAGTGTCCACGCCGGCTGGTGTAGACCGAGCGAGCGAGTGAGGCTGCACGAGGAGCTCCGGATGACCGCGCTGGTTGAGAGTTCGGTCGCTCTCTGTGCCGCCGCCGTGACCCGAGCGTGGCGTCGCCCGTTCGCCGCTTGGCAGTGTTACTGGAGCACGGGTTTATGCTTTACACGCGCACGCGCACACGTGTACACGCACACACACGTGTACACGCACACACGCGTACACACACACACGTGTACACGCACACACACGTGTACACGCACACACACACACGCGCACACGCACACACGTGTACACGCACACACGTGTACACGCACACACACACGTGTACACGCACACACACACACGTGTACACGCACACACACGCGCACACACGTGTATACGCGCACACGCGCACACGTGTACACGCACACGTGTACACGCACACACACGCACACACGTGTACACGCACACACATGCACACACATGCCCACACACGTGTACACGCACACACGCACACACACGTGTACACGCACACACACGCACACACACGTGTATACGCACACACACGCACACACACGTGTACACGCACACACACGTGTACACACACGTGTACACACACGTGTACATGCACACACACGTGTACACGCACACACACGTGTACACGCACACATACGCACACACACGTGTACACGCACACACACGCACACACACACACGTGTACACGCACACACACGCACACACACGTGTACACGCGTGTCATTGTGGCAGTGCCAGAAGACTCCACTGTGTTGGGTGATCCTATGGACCTCAGCTGCCTTGGGGGGGGGGGGGGGGTGATGCTCGGTGTATGAATGATGATGACGACGACGACGATGATGGTGATATCGATTAATATTATGATTATTGCTCTGTTGTTATTATTGTTGTTGATGTTGTTGTTGCGATGTCGAGCCGCCTGCGTATAAAGTCGCACCCTCCTCCCCGTCCTGCTCCTCCGCGCTCCACGTCTCTTGTCGCGGTCGTGCGTGCTCCCTCGTGCGTGCTTCTGTCGAAGGAACCAACTCGCGTCCCCCGCCACCCCCCGGCCTCTGCCCCCCATCCTTGGGTCGCGAAGCGCCTGACCCCAGCTTGGTGACCCGCCAACAACTCCCACCGCCCGGCACGGCCGCGTCGATGGACCGAGAGAGGCGAGGAGCGACGCGGCTCGGCCGGCTTCAGGAAGGGCCCCCCCCCCGCCCTGCCAAAAACAAATAACGGCCCCCCTATCCCCTTCCCTCGGAGCGCATTTGGGCGATGGGGGTGAATTCATCGACGATCCGGATTCACCAAAGGTCCGCGCGCCGCTCCCCTGCCCGCGGGGCGACCTCCAGACTCTCGCGCCAGGCGTGGGGAGCGACGAGCGACGTCGACCGTTACGAGAGTGAGAGAGTGAGAGAGTGAGAGAGAGAGTGAGAGTGAGTGAGAGAGTGAGA